TTTTGTGTTATATTAATAGAAAATGTATCCTAATAGACAGACTTGGAATATTGTATCAATAGAGAATGTATCCTAATAGAAAGGCTTTTAGTGTTCTATCAATAGTGAATGTATCCTGATAGACAGGCTTTTAGGGTTCTATCAATAGAGAATGTATCCTGATAGACAGGCTTTTAATGTCCCAGCATTAGAGAATGTATCCTAATATACAGACTTGTAATGTTCTATTATTAGAGAATGTGTCCTAATAGATAGACTTGTAATGTTCTATCATTAGAGAATGTATCCTAATAGACAGACTTTTAATGTTCTATTATTAGAGAATGTATCCTAATAGAAAGGCTTTTATTGTTCTATCAATAGAGAATGTATCCTGATAGACAGACTTTTAATGTTCCAGCATTAGAGAATGTATCCTAATATGCAGTTGTATTGTATCCTACAGGACATCGTTCTTTTGCAATACCATACAAGACTGTATCCGACTAGACATAATTCTTGTGTTACATCATCACAGAATATATCCTACTAGACGTCCTTATTGTGTTACATCAATAGAAGATGTATCCTACTAGACAGTGATATTGTGTTATATCATCCGCGGAGAATGTATTATACTATTATGATAAATATAAATAATATCCTCTTAGACATCATTATTGTGTTACATCAATAGAAGATGAATCCTACTAGACGTTGTTTCTGTGATAAGAGAAAATATCCTACTTGACGTCGTTCTTGTGCTATATCATTTGAATATATCCTACTAGACATCAGTTGTGTTTTTTATCAATAGCAAACGTATCTTACAAGACATTGTTTTTTTCCGTTCAATGGAGAATATATCCTTCAAGACATCGTTATTGTTACATCATTAGGAACGTATCCTAATATAACATATCCTGCTATGTTTTGTTCTATTAGACATCGTTCTAGTGTACGGCCTATATCATCGGAGAATGTATCATACTTGAACTTGTAAGCGTGTTATATCAATAAAAAATATGTTAAGCAGAGGACAACAATTACGCGTCAACTCAATAATTTTCACTGTTGGATTATTGTTTTACTCGACATATAACAAAACAAATGTAAATTCTGACGCACTTCCCAGCCAGACTTGCCGTGCGGTATTGTGCGTCCGAACTTCCCACTCCTTTCAAAAAATACCGAAGATGATTTAGGCACTTTGACTGAATGTATTTTATAATGTCCTTTTAGAACTATGGCACGGGAAAGTGTGTCACAAGCTTTTACATTACAATCAAAATAGTCACGGCGTCAACAAGCCGTGTTCAAATAGAACACGCCCACAAACCGAACGGTTGTTTCAGTGTGTCACTCACTGCATCTGGCTCGTCGATTGGTCGATAGAACGTTTGAGGTCGGGGTCGTCATTGATTTCAGGAGCAGTGTACAACATTGTATCTTTTTCCGGAGACTTGTTGTTTGCGCGCATTGTCAACTTAAGATTAGGCATATGGAAATTAAATTTACATTGCATGTAGGCCTACATGTTTCAAACCATATGTCATGACTTAAATGTTTCGTTGAATGTGTACTTATTCACATTTTCGTGAACTATAATGGTAGCTATGATTACGCTGACGCCGTGACGATTTTGATTGTAACAGAAAAATATAATGCATATCCCAAAATTGCCTTTTTATTTAAAACTTTATTACGTTTCATCAATGCGTTTGAAGAATGTGTAATGTGTAGAAGCAGCCAACAATGACACGTCAACCCTATAATCTTTAAGTACTATTGGATTATTGATTTATTCGACATATAACAAAAAAAAATGTAAATTTTGACGCAAGTGCTTCAGTTAACAATGAACCATTTCGCATATATAAAAAAAAATCAGTTTGGAGGTAGTAAACAATTATAAAGTATTGTATTCCCAGAAATAATTTAATAGTAGCCGAAAATCAAATATTGCATATTTTTTGGCATACATCTACTCAATATGAGTTTTGCAAAAGTCTTACATTATTCCATTTTTGCATTGATGCAAAATAAATTGCATTCCAAAATCATTTTTGGGGTATGCGAAAATAGATTCAAGATTTTTCAAGATTTTTATTTCACTCAGACACACATAATATGTGTAACAAGAGGTCATGTATATATAACATAGTTTGAGTGCATGACAGGCAAACATTCTATATCATAGCATAGTACATAATTATATATATACGTGAAGTTACATACAAATAATTCAGTGTTCAACTTATATAAAATGTCACTAGCAAACAAAAGAAAAACTTATAGAATAGAGACACTTAAGTACTTTTGTTAATTTTTGAACAAATAAGCTTACACTTTTTAACAATTTCATATTAAAGATTGTGAACATTCCTTTCATTTTATGTTGGTTTGGACTTGTATAAAAATAGGCCGGAATATGTTTTTCCCTTATTTTGACTAAAGTGTCGTTATTACTAGTATATAAGTAATGAAACTCGTCCCCAATACCAGTATTACGAAGTGGGCATATTCTGTCCTGTCTTTGAATTCCCACCCATCTTCCTGATTCTACTGGAAGCTTAATATTTGAAGTTCTAAATTTGCAGATAATTTTCCTATCTTTTGCGTTTAATCTGATCAAATAGTCACTTGAGGTAAGTGTATACCAAAATTTAATCATTCTTAATTTGACATCAACCTCAATAGGGTATCTGCCTGTTTCTCCATATACCATAAAATTACAAGTATTTCTGCGTAGACCAAGAATTCGTTTACAGAATTGGAGGTGTATTTTTTCAAGTATACTAACATCCTCATGGCCTCATATTTCTGATGAGTATAGCAAAATTGGAGCAACTAGCGAGTCAGACAATTTGAATTGTAAATCAATGGGTAACGAAACATTTCTTATTTTCTTATATACGGCATATAGTGATTTTTGGGCCTGTTCCGCTAATTGCTTTTTTGCCACTACAAACCTTCCATTATAGTAAAATAGAACATCTAAGTATGGAAAAGAATCTTGAATGTCTAGCTCATTATCCTGTAATAGAAATCGATATCTGTTAGTATTCTTTCGTTGTAGAAAAGATGACAATTTTTGTCTTCTGTGTGTTTACCGTTAGTTGCCAATTCTCACAATAATCCTGAAATTTATTTAGCATTGATTGTAGACCATCTGCTGTCTCGGACATTAACACTGTATCGCCAGCATATAAAATAACAAAAAGTTTTGCGTACATACCAATATGATCATCACAAAGTTCATCAATCTTTAGTAAACAATCGACATTTTTTTCCAATAAATAGTCTTCTAAATCATTTAAAAATAATGCAAATAAACAAGGCGAGCAATTTTCCCCTTGTTTTAGTCCGACATTGGAAGTGAACATTTCTGACATTTCATTCCCATTTCTCACACAAGATTTCGTATCAGAATACATGTTAATTAATACTTTAAATATTTTACCAGTTATGTTACATTTGAGTAGTTTTTGCCACAAGCCTATTCGCCACACCGAATCGAAGGCTTTTCTAAAGTCAACGAATGCACAATATAGTTTTCTACCGGAGGATAAATATAACGTTGTCAAAACGTGTAAAATAAAAATGTTGTCTAGTGTTGAGTGACCTTTTCTGAAACCTGCTTGTGCGTTACTTATGAGTTCAATTTCATCAGATAGTTTGTATAATCTTGCATTTAAAATCGACGTAAAAACTTTTCCCAAGCACGAGACCAACGTAATAGCCCTGTAATTATCCAACTTTTTGCGATCACCTTTGTTCTTATAGATTGGATTGATTATTCCTGTACTCCAACTTTCCGGTACTATACCAGTGTCCAATATTATATTAAACATATCAACATATACAGGTAACATTGTGTCAACCGTACTCTTTATGTATTCATTGACTATATTATCAATACCACAAGCTTTGTTATTATTCAAATGTTTTATAGCATGAACGATCTCATCAGTAGTAATTCTATCATTCAAAATATTATCATACAAACATTCATTTACAAGTGGAATTTCAAATTCCTCCTCCGTTTCATTATTAAGATTCATTTTTTTAAAATAGTCATGGAGTTCGTCTATTGTCAGATCAACTTTACGCGGACGACCTTTAGGCTTATCAACTCTATTCAAAATGTCCCAGAAGGCTTTTGGTTTTTTGGAAGCTTTCCTCATTTCATGTTCAATATTCGGAACTTTTTATAGTTATTATTAATGAGTTTTCTTTACTCTCTACTTTCTTTGTTCATTTTTTTCCGATTTCTTTGGCTTTTAAAGTTTTTATAATCTCTCTTAGATTCATGAAATTCTTTTCTTTTCTTAACACATTCACGGGTAAACCAGGGTTTGTCCTCTTTGGTGAATACTTTTTTCCCCATTGTGCACGTTTTTTGTTCCAAAAACCTCTCTTGCCGAGTTCAAAAACAATTCAGCAATGTTATTTACTAAATCGTTTACATCGTCTCGCGATATAATCTCAATTGGAGACTCACGTATATTTTTAATTTTTGAATTAATTTGTGTAATTTGCCCCTCTCGTCCATATGTACAGTAGTTACGAAATCAGTTTGTTTTTCGTTTACACATTTACCGATTCTCTCAGTAAGATGAACCGGTTCCTTGTTTTTGTATACTGTTTCAGAATATTGAATAGTAAATTTTAGTCTACAGTGCACGTCTGAAATCAAAGGATCAAAGTCTAAAACTTCAAAGTGACACAAGAGAGGAAAAACATTGGACGATACATTAAATAATAAACTAAGCTCACATATTTACAAGTATTCTTACCAATGAATCTATCATTGCCGACTCTACCGTTTGCAATGTATACATTATTATTTTTTCAAAAATCAAGCAGATTAAGACCAAATGTATTTGGTCTTGCTAGGTCTTGACTCGTTCTTTGAAGCGGTAATATAATGTTGTGTATGCGACTTAATTTTTGCTATAAAGAAAAACTATTTCTTTATGTTACGAACTTCCGTTGGCTGTTTTGGTCACATGATCAAAAACATGGCGGCTTACAGGCGGCTGTGTTTACGTTCTGTTGTTTTGGCCTTGCTTTATTTTGGCTTTCAAACCGAAGCGGTAAGATGTGCATTGATATCTGTCATTTTCTGTTCGTTAATATATCGACTAAAACTTGGATAAATGATAAGATACAGACGTATAGCCTGGATGTACCTCGGGCCGGGCCTACATGATAATAGCTGCGATAACGTAGTTTTCTGACGACGAGAGATTTTTTTAGAGGAGGCCGGGTATTAATATTAGTACTAACATGATAAGTGATCAACGTACTCTGTGGTATTTTACCAGTAGGATAATTGACTTATGGTTGATGTCATTTCGTCTTTCTATATTTCAAATATAGTTGATTGGTTTATGTGTTGTTATTATTTTCTAAAACAAGCACAAAGAACGAAGAAATGATGACCATATATGTACAAATATATAGTCTCTGGCCATGACATCCGACTTAGACACCCACACAGTCATCTATCTGTTAAAATGTCTTAGTCTGGTGTCAGGGCCAGTGGACACTCGGGATATTACAAATCAAGAACATTTGTAAAATTTAGTTAACATGTTGATTGGAAATATTAAGATAAAAAGATATGAAATGAAATGTTTCTTTGTTTTCTAGGGTATTCAAGAAAGTCTACAGTATGCTGAGGTTGACACCGTACATATGATCTTTATGACACACTTAGGTAAACTTGTAAGCTTTGATCGTTCATGAACTAGTCACAGGTAATAATAGCCTAGTCTGTCAATGAACTAGTCTCAGGTAATAACAGCCTAGTCTGTCAATGAACTAGTCACAGGTAATAATAGCCTAGTCTGTCAATGCATCCTGAATATAAACAATATTTATATCATGTGTGTATACTACAGACAAAGCTAATGTCTGTAAAACTAGTGTAGCCCGAGTTTCCTCTGACCCTGACACCAAATTAAACATTATTTTACAGATATACGTCTGGTGTGGATGTCTAAGTCTGGTGTCAGGGCCAGAAGAAACTCAGGCTATAACTAGTGTTTAATCAAACTTTAATTTTGCAAGAAGCTGTTATATGTCTTTTTTTTTTTACACCAGTAGCTTGCTGAAATATAGTGCTAGAAATTAGAGTTTGGGAAAAGAAAGCCAGTGAGCATATCCGGGCCCCCTTGGCCTCTTGTTGTATTTTACAGACTTCTGTTTACTTCAGTTTGAATGTTGGCAATTCGAGTTTCATATTTACGTACTTTTGAGTCCAGATATTAGCAGATTTTATATCATATGATACCAGACAAACCATGGCAACTTTAGCAAGAAAAAATCTGTACTTTACTGACTCCCAAAAACTTATTGAAACATCATTTTCCATGCAGTTGCATTTCTTGTAAGAAACAACCATAACAATGACTCTTTATAGTGTGTGTGTAACTTTTTTGAAATTTGAAATGACTCAAAACCCATGACACAAAAATTACATACTTGCACAAAAATTTAGAATAGGTATTGAGGGCAACTGGAAGCAAGCAACATTTCTTATTTGCCTCATAATGATCATTGTTGGCCTCATTTCAAATAACTGATCAATTACCACAATGTGTAACACATTTATATTACTTCACTCGACTACTACAGCAGATTTGTATTATTTTAAAGATGTAGGCTATAATGGTGGCACTGAAACAGGATTCATCAACAATATCCTAAACACCTACTTCCACGAGTATTTCCCCCGGGCCATCAATCTGTCACAACAGCTGCGCACAGACGAGTATGTAGAAGGATTTGTCTATACAACTCATCCATGGCTGGTCAGTCTGTTCCTGGACTGTCCGCACAACCTTGTTCTCAACAACATCACCCTTAAGGTAAGTACTTAACCTACTCTACACCCCCTGACTGGTCAATCTGTTACTGGACTGTCCTCACAACCTTGTTCTCAACAACAATCATCTTCAAGGTAAGTACTTAACCTACTCTACACCCCCTGACTGGTCAGTCTGTTCCTGGACTATCCTCACAACCTTGTTCTCAACAACATCACTCTTAAGTACCTAGACAACTGTACATCCCCTGACTGGTCAGTCTGTTCCTGGACTGTCCTAACAACCTTGTTCTCAACAACAACACCCTCAAGGTAAGCACCTGTATACTGGCTTTTGAAGACCCCTTTCTGATAATCACCTAGACTGTCCGTAAGACCTTGTTCTTTGACCTCAAGGTAAGAACCAACTTACATACTGCTCAGTCACTCCCTGTCTGTATCTTGACCTTGTGTTAACCTTCATAGTAAGTAAGTGTAAACAGACTATTGTATACCCACTGGCTGGTCAGTCAACTGGACTGTCCTGATGACCTTGTTCGTTGACCTCAAGGTAAGTACAGACAATTTTAGACCAACTAAGCGGTCACTTACCTGGACTACTCACCTGGACTGCCCTCATAATGTTATTCTCATCGTCAAGATATGTACAATGTATTCTTGCCACCAGGGAAACTATTTGATACCATTGATGAAATCAATAAACCCACATGTTTATTATACAACTTACTACCAAATGAACATTTCTAACTGTCCTGTAAATTTTATATGGCAAGTTCATAATTTCATACATTGAATTTTGGTGAAATATTAATTATTCTTTTCCGAGGAAAATATCACAAGCTTTTTTTTTGGCTGAAAGAAAATATAGTTTTATGATCAATGTCTGAAGATGAAGAATGTTTTTTTTTTTTTTTATTCAGTGTCCAAATGAAACATCAGTGGAACTCTTCAAAGCTGCGGTTAATCGAGGTGACATCACATGGCATGCTGGACCAATGAACATGCAGTTCGAGAACATGAACGAAATTCTATTTCAACTGAGTCTAAATATCAGTTCTGATTTAGATGCAATGTTTAAAATACAAAGGAAATTTCCAACTCTGAGTCAACGTGATGTTCCAGGTAGGTATTGGTGCACAATGTTATAAGAACAAGCTTTATCACATTGACTTGACTTCATTTGTATAAATCCCTTGTATTTCTTGTGCCACTTTATTGACAATAGACATAACAACCAAGACTGTTCCCACAGGAATGACACAGGCAGTCATCCCAAGTCTGGTACAGAAAGGCATAATGGCTGTCTCAGTCGGAGTAAACCCAGGTACCAGCCCGCCAGCAGTGCCAAAGCTGTTCACTTGGGAATTTGAGGACAGTGCTGTCCTTGCCACCTGGCATGCAGGTATGTCCAAGTTAACACAGGTATGTACAAGTTAACACAGGTATGTACATGTTATCACAGGTATGTACAAGTTATCACAGGTATGTACAAGTTAACACAGGTATGTACAATTTAACACAGGTACATACAAGTTAGCACAGGTAAATACAAGTTAACACAGGTATGTACATGTTATCACAGGTATGTACAAGTTAACACAGGTATGTACAATTTAACACAGGTACATACAAGTTAGCACAGGTAAATACAAGTTAACACAGGTATGTACATGTTATCACAGGTATGTACAAGTTAACACATGTATGTACAAGTTAACACAGGTATGTACAATTTAACACAGGTACATACAAGTTAGCACAGGTAGATACAAGTTATCACAGGTACAAACAAGTTAACACAGGTATGTACATGTTATCACTGGTATGTACAAGTTATCACAGGTATGTACATGTTATCACTGATATGTACATGTTATCACTGGTATGTACAAGTTATCACAGGTATATAAATGTTATCACTGGTATGTACAAGTTATCACACAGGTATGTACAATTTAACACAGGTATGTACAAGTTAGCACAGGTATGTACAAGTTAACACAGGTATGTACAAGTTAACACAGGTACATACAAGTTAGCACAGGTATGTACAATTTAACACAGGTACATAAAAGTTAGCACAGGTAAATACAAGTTAACACAGGTAAATACAAGTTAACGCAGGTACATACAAGTTAACACAGCAACCTTTTCAGGTTAACACGACCATCTGGACACTGACTTATATTAAGTATAATATATTGGTCATAGATGGAATAAAAGACTAGGACAACATTAACTCGGACATGCTTGGCAATTTTACTTAAATGTTCATTTATTTCAGCCCATTGGATGTTAGATATGATTTATTTTTATTGCAAATTATTTTGTTTGCTGCTTACAGCACTGTGTTGTGTCTGTAGGTGGGTATCCCCTAGGACCGGGAAGCAGCCCCGCCAAGCCAGGGGGCCTGTCCAGAAACGACTGTGTGACTGTGGAAGGCTTCAACCATGCCATGTGCTATGCTTTCATACAGGATAATGGGGGACCACCCAAAGATATCCAGGTAGTTATTCCTTATTGTATACACACTATCACTGGTTTTGTTATGGTTGTTTCGCCAGTCTGGTAATTACTTTGAATTAAAAACTTTTTAGCTGGCTGACAAAAGCTTTAAAGCCCTTGGTGGCCAAGTGCATAAGGCATCTGACATTCTGTTAGCTACCACTAGCTCTCCACCACTGTGGCTACGATACCTACGTGGGGCAGTCGCTAGGTACTGGCCATAGGTTTTTCTCAGGGAGCTCCGGCTTTCCTTCACCATCAAAATCTGGCACGTCCTTAAATGACCAAATCTGTTGATAGGACGTAAAACACAAACGATAGCTTTAATAAGTCATTTTCACAGAAACCCATACCTTAATTAAGGTGAATCATTTGAAAATAATAGATTTTATTTTATGTTATGCATAGGGATGTGTCTATATGGAGTCTGTCCTTATTTGAACATTTGATACTTAAAAACAATAAAACAATTTCAAACCTTCGAAAAGGTATAACATGCCATCATTGATATTGATTCCTCTTTCTATTTACTTCAGGAAATTTTAAATTACTATGAAATCATGCGAAAGGAATTTCCTGGAGCCAAAATTAAGGCTTCCACATTTGACGAATTCTTTGAAGCTGTCCAGCCAATAAAAAGCCAGCTCCCTGTAGTTACCAAGGAGATAGGAGACACATGGATACAAGGGATTGCATCTGATCCAAAGAAAATGGCAAAGTATAGAGCCTTTACAAGCTCCCTAAGTAGCTGTTTTCTGACACGTAAGAACTTAATACTAGTATATAAGTTTGTAAGTTCATCTATAAATGTATATTATTCATACATGCCTGAACTCATGGCGTGAGGCAACATCTCACAGATTTTCAACTCCGATAAAGTCTCACGGCGTGGGACATGAATTTACGGAAAGTCCTCAAACCCTTTTTTAATGATCGATCGGCAAACCATTTTCCTGTTGTTGTTTACTCAAAGTTAATTTAATAAAGGTTTTGTTAATAAAGATAACTACACATTAACTCATTCACCCCTAAACCAAACCAAATCAATGACTGGGCAAGTCCAGTTTAGATAGGTAGGGGTGGATTAGTTAATGGTATTTTAATTATTACTTTAATATGTACAACACATGAACATAATATTTCATCAATTTTGAAATTAGTTCTGTACTTTTTGGCTTGTAAAAGTAGCAATGAAAATATTCATAAGTATATTGTACTGGTTTTCCTGAGCTTCAATAAAATACAGGTTTAAAACAAATGTGTAGAAATGTTCAATGATTGTTTGATATTCTCGCTATACCAGAGATACAGCCTTAGCTTTTGTAACTTGCTCCCAGGTTCTTGCATTCAAATTCACTCTTAAGTTTTACTTTGCAAAAAAAGAAAGATTTGAAGGTGTGGTCCAGACTCCGACCTCAGGGTGTGGTCCAGACTCCGACCTCTTTTGCATTTAAAACAATTCAAAGGTGTTTACATGTGAAAAAAATCCTCAAAATCTTGCAATAATTGTGTGTTATATTCTCAGATCAGTGTGACTACAGTGACAGCAGGATCAGGGATGCAGTTCGTTTCATCATCAAACCACCAGAACACACATGGGGCTTGCCAGGAGTGGGCGATTCTGTCAACTGGACTAACCCACTCTTCCTAAAGGCTAGACAAGGTAAGTGAGCCTTCACACTACTTCTAAGACTGAGGAAGGTTAATCTAACCCATTGTTCCTCAAGTATAGGAAAGGTTAGTAGAGGTCATTGGTCAAGCCCAATGTTCCTCAAGGGTATGGAAGGTTACTAGGAGCCTCATGTCCAACCCCTTGTTCCAATTGAGTGTGTGCTTGTGTCTACTTCAGTGATTTATTATTAAAGTATCACTGTTCTTTTGCACAGGATGCAAATGTTTGTGAAGTAATGTTTGTGAGGTGATGCCTTATTTTCATTCACAACAAGCTGATGACACAGCTGATGTCACAGCCAATGACACAGCTGATGACACAGCCAATGACACAGCCAATGGCACAGCTGATGACACAGCCAATGACACAGCTGATGACACAGCCAATGACACAGCCAATGACACAGCTGATGTCATAATTTCTGGATGCTGCAGCCATTGTCAGTTTTTTCCAGCTTAATGTGGACATGCACACTTGTACTCTCACACGCTAATTCGTCCAAGACCAGTCACACATGGATCATTTGTTATACAGGGGGAGACTTGGAAGAGTATTTCCCATGCATGAATTGGTCGAAAATGAAAACAGGTACTTGAATGTATCAATGTCGAGAAATATGTGGTTATTAACTTATGAAGGGCTGTCACAGAGGTGATGAAATTAATTATCATATTACATGTAGTCTATCTCAGAAGTCTACTTATATAAGATTGTATAATCAACATGGCTGTGGACCAAAAGGAGTTATAACTTTATTGATGGAAGCTGAAAACGACGCATAGTATGAAAATCTGCACAATTTTTCCATCAGTGGCATTTCAAAACTTATTATATTTTAAGGTAAAAATTTTCATAACTGTGAAGATGCCTGGGAGGAGCAGAGACAATTTATTGATATTGCCTTGGAAAAGGTCAAAGGTCACCCACTAGCCAATATTGCCCATTATGAGATGGAGCAGTTGACCCCAAAAGAACCAGATTTGACAGGTGAGTGTTATCATGTGACATTTTGGACAAGTATACATTCTTATTCGTAGGAATACTGAACACTGTTGTCTTGTTTTGTCTGTGATTTAACATCCTTGTAACAGCTAGGGTCACACAAGGACAGTACACCGCTGTCACAACAGCTAGGGTCACACAAGGACAGTACACCGCTATCACAACAGCTAGGGTCACACAAGGACAGTACACCGCTGTCGAAATAGCTAGGGTCACACAAGGACAGTACACTGCAGCACAACAGCAAGGGTCAAACAAGGACAGTACACCGCTGTCACAACAGCTAGGGTCAAACAAGGACGGTACACTGCTGTCACAACAGCTAGGGTCACACAAGGACAGTACACCGCTATCACAACACCTAGGGTCACACAAGGACAGTACACCGCTATCACAACACCTAGGGTCACACAAGGACAGTACACTGCAGAAAAACAGCAAGGGTCAAACAAGGACAGTACACCGTTGTCACAACAGCTAGGATCACACAAGGACAGTACACCGCTGTCACAACAGCTAGGGTCACACAAGGACAGTCCACTGCAGCACAACAGCAAAGGTTACACAAGTACAGTACACTGCTGTCACAACAGCTAGGGTCACACAAGGACAGTACACCGCTGTCAAAACAGCTAGGGTCACACAAGGACAGTACACTACTGTCACACCAGCTAGGGTCACACAAGGACAGTACACTACTGTCACACCAGCTAGGGTCACACAAGGACAGTACACTCCTGTCACAACAGCTAGGGTCACACAAGGACAATAAACCGCTGTCACAACAGCTAGGGTCACACAAAGACGGTACACCGTTGTCACAACCGCTAGGGTCACACAAGGACAATACACCGCTGTCACAACAGCTAGGGCCACACAAGGACAGTACACCGCTGTCACAACAGCAAGGGTCACACAAGGACAGTACACCGCTGTCAAAACAGCTAGGGTCACACAAGGACAATACACCGCTCTCACAACAGCTAGGGTCACACAAGGACAATAAACCGCTGTCACAACAGCTAGGGTCACACAAAGACGGTACACCGTTGTCACAACCGCTAGGGTCACACAAGGACAATACACCGCTGTCACAACAGTTAGGGTCACACAAGGACAGTACAATGCTGTCACAACAGATAGGGTCACACAAGGACAGTACACTACTGTCACAACAGCTAGTGTCACACAAGGACAGTACACCGCTGTCACAACAGCAAGGGTCACACAAGGACAGTACACCGCTGTCGAAATAGCTAGGGTCACACAAGGACAGTACACTGTTGTCACAACAGCAAGGGTCAAACAAGGACAGTACACCGCTATCACAACAGCTAGGGTCACACAAGGACAGGACACTGCTGTCACAACAGCTAGGGTCACATAAGGACAGTACACCGCTGTCACAACAGCTAGGGTCACACAAGGACAATACACCGCTGTCACAACAGCTAGGGTCACACAAGGACAGTACAATGCTGTCACAACAGCTAGGGTCACACAAGGACAGTACACTGCTGTCACAACAGCTAGGGTCACATAAGGACAGTACACCGCTGTCACAACAGCTAAGGTCACACAAAATCTCTTACTAGAAGAGGAGGGGATGGGCTGATTACAGGACAATCAAATACTATTTTTTAGCATTTCTGCTGAACTGATTTTATGGCATTTATATTGAACTGTAATATATATATATAGGTGGGCTTATTATCAGGCATGGGCTTATTGCCAAATAGATACAGTATTCTGTTAATAGTAATTGTTAATCAGCATGAACAAACTTGTTATTTAACCTGAATTCCTGTCAGTATCAACCAATCACATGACCCCTACTACTTCCTGTCAGTATCAACCAATCACATGACCCCTGACTACTTCCTGTCATTTTCAACTAATCACATGACCCCCGACTACTTCCTGTCAGTATCAACCAATCGCATGACCCTGACCACTTCCTGACAGTATCAACCAATCCTGTCAGTATCAAACATTCACATGACTCTGACCACTTCCTGACAGTATCAACCAATCACATGACCCTGACTAATTAGGGCCCCGTATCAGAGATACGGGTGAGGAATAGTAATCACTCTGTCTGTCTGTCTGTCTGTCTGTCTGTCCACAAATTTTGTTCCTGGCTCATAACTTTGGTATTTATTGACCGATGATCATGAAACTTGGTCAAGATGTTACAAAAATACACATTGAGGTAAAAAGTCAAGGTCAAAGGTCAAGGTCACTAGGTTCAAAGGTCAAGGTGAAATTTTACATCTTTACACTGATGAACATTTTGTTATGACATTATGAAGCAAAGTTGATGAGAATAAAACAAGGAGTCAATTGACCAAAGGTCAAGGTCACTAGGTTCAAAAGTCAAGGTGAAATTTTGCATGTTTACACAGATGAACATTTTGTTATGATATTAAGAAGCAAAGTTGGTCGGAATTAAAGAATAAGTCAACTGACCAAAGATCAGGGTCACTGGGTTAATGGTCAAGATCATTTGGGTCCAGTGCATCTCTGACTTTGACCCTGGCTCTTGATGGAGGAGGTATATAAGGTGAAATAAACCAAATCAAAGCTAACAAATGAGTACTGCACCGGTATTTGCATTTCTGTTAGCCCAGCAAATATGGAGGTGGAAGGAAACAAGACTCACATCATAGTTCATGTAAAATGATTCCTTGCGATTCTTTTTAAAGTCCAAATGTCAAACGTCAAGCTCAGCTATATGGGCAGATTGCTTCTTGATGATGATGGGGGATATATTGCCACAAGATGGGGCCCTTACTGACCTGTCAGTGTTCTAGTTCCTGTCAGTATCAAACATTCACATGACCTTGACCTTACATCTGTAGATTATGATGTGGTGGAAGATGCTGCACAGATATTCAGCTGTGAAGATGGTGTACAGATTCAGTTCTCCAATTCTGGTGCCATCAAAAGACTATACGATCCCTATAATAAGGTACATTTTACCAGGAGAAAATAGAAATTTCATCAAATATTTATTAAAAAGAAAAATTAAGGCAGATATTTTGTTACTTGTAAGATATTGATGTTTCTTTTCTGTCTCTATTATAAACTTCCATCAATTAAAAAATATTATAATCTGTAAATCCTTTTTTTTTTTTTTTTTTTTTTTTAAATGTGTTTGTATTTGACTTCATGCCATCTACCGGTAATACTAACATATAATACAAGACCAGTTCTGGTTTGCTACGAGGTCTAGAGCGTTTGCCAACATTTGAAACCTGGTGTATAATTAGTACATGCAAGTTTGACTACTGGCAACTGTGTAAGACTTTCAACATTCTTAAAATGATTGTAGAGATATTGTTTACCTTGGAGGCAATCCTTGGGTAAAATCATTCCTTGTCCACACGTTAATCTTTGTTTTTTCTATATAGACAATTATGAGTAAAAAAAAAGTACCATCAATACAAAAATTGTTAATTGCTTTCTACAGATAGACTGGGCTAGTGGACCAGACACATTTGGAGAGATACGGTACTATACTTACAATGAGACTGACTTCAGTAACATGGCATCTCAGTATAATTACTATGGAGGTGCTGGGTATGACAAACCCAACTCCACCAAGAACGCCCACCCAGAGTCTCGCCAGTGGTCCACACTACTTACCACTGTCTACAAGTCGCGCAAATCAGGTAAATGCTGTTCATGAAGTACTGTAGACTAGTTAGGCCAAATAAAAAAAATCTTGTGTTTCCGCTAACCCTACCTACCCTAGATTTTTGGGCCTTAGTTTTTATTGACATTTATTGATATGCACTGTAAAAGTCAGAACTCCTGCTCTATTATATAAACACGGTAAAAATATTTTCCAAGATAAAATAAAAATTGATTTCCTACCTACCCTAATTTTTCTGAGGATGATAGCGAAAACACAAGTACATTGTAATTATGTTTATGGAATTATTGTACATGAGCTAAATGTCTTGTGTCGTATTGATCATGCTATAAACTGAGAGGGCCAAAACTAATCTCCAGCTCAATGTAGGGGCTGAGCTTATTACGGAACAAAGAAACAGATGGGCTTATAACCGGGCATGGGCTTTTTAACAGATAAATATTGTAATTACTATTGGAATTAAGAAGTGCATCAATATATCCATAAACATATGAATGTATTACTTTGAAGTTCTTTACAATAAATGCATCATCTCTCACATTGTGTGTACCCTGTTTTCTTGTGCCTCAGCTCCAGCCTGTGATATACTTCTGAAGATTGAAATGGCCGAAAGTGCAGCCACGGACCGGTACGGAGCTCCACCTATGTTCTGGTTAAATTACGTCTCTCGGAAAAGGGCCCACAACTATGGGGGTAAGTCATATTTAATTGGTCATTCCAATTTTAATATCGTAGCATATTAGTTTATTGCTTCTCCTTTCCAAAAAGTGTTCTTTACAATACAAACTCACAAAAACCCTCATGAATATTATAGTAATTAATTTATGACATTGGATAGGTAAACAAGAATTAGTGAATTGAAAAACATTCATTTCGTTTTTTTATGAAATTAAAGGAGATGACTGATAGACAAAATCACAATAAAACAAGTACCATATTTTACCTATGATAAACCCAGTGGCCCCCCTAACATGTAGATGTAATATGATTATCTCTGGCATCAAAGTAGGGAGTGGGTTTATTACAGGACAATGAAATAGCATTTGTTGGCATTTTCACCTAACTTCAATAGATATGGAAGGGCTTATTACCAGGCATGGTCTTTTTGCCAGATAAATGTGGTGAGGTAGCATATGTCCTTAACTCTAACACAACTATTATGTATAATTCATGCGGTGGCATACAACTTTAACAAAATATTAACCAGGATTTTAACTAGTGTTCTTCGTTAAAGGATTTGATGTCACACTTCAGTGGTTTAAGAAACCACCCACACGCCTTGCTGAAGCTATCATGTATCATTTCGCCCCACATTCTCCTGGAGGAGCGACCTCTGACCCAGAGTTCATGTGGCATGTATCAAAAGTTGGTCATCTTGTCGACCCAAGCAACGTTGTACTGAACGGTAGCCAGTACGTCCATGGTAAGTCTATATTCTGAAATTTTTGGCTTTCTGCCACTATTTTGCAACTTGTAAAAGACAAATTCACAATTTTCTCATCGGTCAAGATCGATTTATAAGCTGGCAAAGAAACCAGCAAGTTGGAGAAAATGAGCAGTCATTTGTTTAGAACTAATTTCTTTACTGTTATGGAAATCTGGACAATATGAATTGTCAGTTTCTCAAAATTAGCAAGTTCAGCACATTCTGAAATAAACAGCCATATAAATTAAAGATCAAACTCAGCCATAAGCTAAGCATATTTAAAGAAGCTTTGTTGGTGATTAAGACAAATAGATGTTAATGTACAGCCCAGAGTGTGCCTGGTTTTATGTCTTTGCTCAAAGACTAGCATTTAAAATTTGAGTTGGTACGAGATTTTTTTTTTTTTTTCTTTTTTTTCTCCGAAATACAGCTGTTGACAATGGAGTCTACTTCACCCAATTTCATGGTGATGGTTTACAAATTCATACATTTGATGTGCCAGTAGTTTCAATTGCAACCAAGATGCATCCCCCGTCGCCATTTCCAGTCCCCTTAAAACCGATTTTCCAGAGTGACATGACAGGTGTGTCGTTCAATTTGTACAACAACATTTGGAACACCAACTACATCATGTGGTACCCATACTTGCCCGAGGATCAGGACTTCAAGGCAAGGTTTCAACTGAAATTGTACTGTGCCTGGGGCTGCAGCACTGCTCAGGTCCAACAAGTCGGGTAACATCTGGATTCAACCTATGTTAGTATATGTACAAGGAGAATACTTTTTACATTTAAGTTTTGTATTTCAGGATTCCTAGGTCAAGATGACTGTTACTATTTTTCGGAAAAAAATTATCGTCGTCTCCGGATGGGTAATTCATACATTACCCATTGTTATTTATTGAAACGTGAAGACCAGCCTCAATGCATAGCGTGTCAGAACCTATTTACAGTGAAACACTACTTAATAGATTTTCAATAATCAAATTGACGTTATCTTTTACCTTTACGTGTGTGATCCCGTTTTTATTTTGCATTTGTTTTTGTCGACCATGACAACAATGACCTATCCTGTATTGATGGGCCGTTAAGCATGTAATAATAATAATTATGATAATTTTAGTAATTCCTTTCTGACTGTATTTTGGTCAGATTTCATATATTGTTTAGGATATAATGATATCTCTATAACAATCTTCTGTACCACACAGCATTTAGAATCTGTTAGTAACTTCCACATATGTCAGGGAATTTTTGGTGCCAAATTTCAGTCCCTTTCTCGGTAAAAAATATTTTCCCCATTTTTCTCTCTCTCCCAACTTCAAATTGTGAATTTCTTCCAATGTTTTTATAATAATGCAGCCTTTAAAATAATGTTTTATAAATAAGGATCTTTTCCCTCTTTCAGAAAATTCCAAATTTAGATTACTGCGATACATTTTATAAGCTCATCTGGCCTGAACAACACGTTCTGAAAAACCACAAAAATAGCATGTTTGAGTTTAAGACTATAACTTTGTGTTCAAATAGATGACCTTGATCCACTTTTAAGGTATTAAGGGTCAAATATATTTTAAAATTAAAAAAAAACCTAATAAATAACCAAGAGGCCTGAAATAATATTTGACCAATAGCATGGTGGGATGAAGGACTATCAAATTTGTCTAAATATACGACCTTAACCAACTTTTGAGGTCACAGGGGTCAAATCCATTAAACCTTTGAACAACCATCCTAAAATACCAAGAGACCAAGGGTCATGACATTTGTCCTGTAGCATAATGGTGAAAGTGATATGAAGTGTGTGAATCTGAATTAATGTCCTTGAATGTCAGAATATTCAAAGGAGTTAAAATCTTCCAACAAGGTTTTATAAAATGTAGAGCAATAAATCTTCCGACAAAGACCCATTACATGTTTAGTGATGATACTTGATTTGATGATTTGATCTCGACTCTCTTTGAAGGTCACAGATGATAGTTGAATAACAGTTGAGCGAAATAGAACAATTGGGCCAGCTCTTATTCCGATTCCAAAACCACAAACTCTGTATACTATCAACTATCATATTTGATTATCAATTATAGTTGAAGACCTTTGTTGAGGTGAGTATGTGGTTATATGAACCTGAAAAAAGAGATGTTAACCTAAACGAAGTTCATGTCAATATCTAATATTTTACTTTAAGTAAATGGTTCATATATGTATCTGAAAAGTTTTTAAACCTGTTATGGGAATAGTCAATAATGTAAGTATTATTTTAGGTGTCACGGTAGTCTAGTGCCAGGCTCGTGGGTTGGAATCCTGTCATGGCACTGTGTTGTATCCTTGAACAAGATACTTTACTCTGTTTGTTCCAGTCTACTCAGCTGTAAATGAGTATGTGGTTGGGCAGTGCTGGATTTGTTGAATGCTAGCTGTGAGTGCCTAAATGGCAGCACCGACTGCATGCTCCCCAGGAAGTTGAGAAAGATATTGGCTGGTTGCAAAGGCCGGTATAAACACAGATAATATTTTGTGAACCGCAGGCGCTTTGAGACAACCTATGAACTAGGTTGTGATAAAGCTGTATATCAGAATCTCAAATTATTATTATAATTATTTTATGTACATACAACATAGCATTACTGATTACGTAGTGACGTCACTGATAGGTCATAGGTGTCTATGTAACACAGCTTAACATACCATTGAGATGACATTAGGTAGCCTTAAGGTAGATTTTGAGATATGACCAGTTCAAGATACTGTATACCAGGAAATGTTTGCCCTTTGACAACAAAATCTGTTTCCGCCCAATATTAAATTCGCCCATCACATTTAATTACTATGTATATCGTGTTGTTCACAAACGTATGCTGTAATGATAAATTCCCCCTCAACAATGACGGCGAAAAAGGCTAAAAATAAACTGCAGCAAACATTTCCCGGAATACAGTAGTTAGATAGGAGCTGTACAATCCCGATTCTGTGGATATGTCTAATTTAGTTTATATCATACATGAAACCACATTACATAACACTGTTTTAACAGGTTGTTAAGGACCAAAAACTAACTTTGGGGCTCTCACTCATTTATGCAAGCATAAATTCATTCATTTGGCCATTGGAATTCAAGGGAATTCTTTTCCCCATTCAGATAATAATTATTCTTTGCTTTTATTAAGATCACACCATTATTGGATAATTTGGTATAAGATTGGTTTTTGATAATGGTGCAATCTATAAGATACTTGCAGGTGATATTGCATTATGTTTCATTATGTTTCTAGTTTCTATTATGTAAAGATTAAATGGTGAGTAGCCCCAAAGAAGAGCCAAAGTATAGATTTATTATACTTAAGAATCTAAATCTTAATAAACCAGTTCTAGAATTATTTCCGGTTTATCTTATATGTTGTGTATAAACTATGCATTAGGACCTACTTTCTACCCTGGCTATAACTTCGATAAATCACTTCTGAAAAGAAAGAAAAACACACCTTGCGGTACTTTTATGAAAAATATAACCAGGATGAAATATATACTAAGAAGAATCTACAATCAAGTTCTGAGTGTAAAAATACAATGACCCCAAACCAGGATTTGACCTCAGAGCATTAAACTGTTACTCAAACCAACTGAGGTACCTGGTCAATGGAAGAATCCTGGCTGAGTCACGTTAACCCTTTCATCCCTAGGTAACTTTAATAGACTCTCCCAAGCATTGATCTGGATGAGTCTATTATGGTCTACAGTGGTGAAAGGGTAAATATTGCAACAAAAATGAAATTAAGGGGAGATTACTGTGTGCACGAAAAACTGCAGTGGCATTCTCTAGTGTTTTGCTTGCAGGGGGGTGTAAATCCTCGAATTCAGGGAATTAGTTAAACTTATCAATATATCATTGTTGCATAATAAGATACAATTTTGTGTACTTTTTAACTCAAATGTTATCACTTTGAAATATATATTTTTACGAGATGAACTTTGTGATAATTTGCTAAAATACATATATATGCATGTATTGAAATAAAATATCTGATGAAATGTGTTATGAATTTGATTTTGTAAAGAGAAGGATGTCATTTTTATAGTTATTATTAAGTAGATCATAATAAAGAAAAGTCTCTGCTGCAAAGTGTTTTCCTGTACTTTACCATCAAGTTTTCGCAATGCTATTATTTATAACTATCAACACTTGACGTTAACATGTTTTATTGTGCACTGTGGTAAACATTGATCAGTCATTATGTTTCTTACTATAACTGTGGTTTGGATCACAAGTTGTATTAACCATAAATATATATTAGACAGTTAGATGTTTAAACACAAAATGCAGCAGAAGTTTGTTAATCCAGAAAACTTGTTTTCTGTACACAAACGTTCAAGGTCTGAAATACTTTTACTATAAGTCAGTATTACTGTCAGTCTGAACACCAACATACAGTGACTGAAATACTTTTACTATAAGTCAGTATTACTGTCAGTCTGAACACTAACATACAGTGACTGAAATACTTTTACTATAAGTCAGTATTACTGTCAGTCTGAACACTAACATACAGTGACTGAAATACTTTTACTATAAGTCAGTATTACTGTCAGTCTGAACACTAACATACAGTGACTGAAATACTTTTACTATAAGTCAGTATTACTGTCAGTCTGAACACTAACATACAGTGACTGAAATACTTTTACTATAAGTCAGTATTACTGTCAGTCTGAACACTAACATACAGTGACTGAAATACTTTTACTATAAGTCAGTATTACTGTCAGTCTGAACACTAACATACAGTGACTGAAATACTTTTACTATAAGTCAGTATTACTGTCAGTCTGAACACTAACATACAGTGACTGAAATACTTTTACTATAAGTCAGTATTACTGTCAGTCTGAACACTAACATACAGTGACTGAAATACTTTTACTATAAGTCAGTATTACTGTCAGTCTGAACACTAACATACAGTGACTGAAATACTTTTACTATAAGTCAGTATTACTGTCAGTCTGAACACTAACATACAGTGACTGAAATACTTTTACTATAAGTCAGTATTACTGTCAGTCTGAACACTAACATACAGTGACTGAAATACTTTTACTATAAGTCAGTATTACTGTCAGTCTGAACACTAACATACAGTGACTGAAATACTTTTACTATAAGTCAGTATTACTGTCAGTCTGAACACTAACATACAGTGACTGAAATACTTTTACTATAAGTCAGTATTACTGTCAGTCTGAACACTAACATACAGTGACTGAAATACTTTTACTATAAGTCAGTATTACTGTCAGTCTGAACACTAACATACAGTGACTGAAATACTTTTACTATAAGTCAGTATTACTGTCAGTCTGAACACTAACATACAGTGACTGAAATACTTTTACTATAAGTCAGTATTACTGTCAGTCTGAACACTAACATACAGTGACTGAAATACTTTTACTATAAGTCAGTATTACTGTCAGTCTGAACACTAACATACAGTGACTGAAATACTTTTACTATAAGTCAGTATTACTGTCAGTCTGAACACTAACATACAGTGACTGAAATACTTTTACTATAAGTCAGTATTACTGTCAGTCTGAACACTAACATACAGTGACTGAAATACTTTTACTATAAGTCAGTATTACTGTCAGTCTGAACACTAACATACAGTGACTGAAATACTTTTACTATAAGTCAGTATTACTGTCAGTCTGAACACTAACATACAGTGACTGAAATACTTTTACTATAAGTCAGTATTACTGTCAGTCTGAACACTAACATACAGTGACTGAAATACTTTTACTATAAGTCAGTATTACTGTCAGTCTGAACACTAACATACAGTGACTGAAATACTTTTACTATAAGTCAGTATTACTGTCAGTCTGAACACTAACATACAGTGACTGAAATACTTTTACTATAAGTCAGTATTACTGTCAGTCTGAACACTAACATACAGTGACTGAAATACTTTTACTATAAGTAGTATTACTGTCAGTCTGAACACTAGCATACAGCGACTGAAATACTTTTACTATAAGTCAGTATTACTGTCAGTCTGAACACTGACATACAGTGACTGAAATACTTTTACTATAAGTCAGTATTACTATCAGTCTGAACACTAACATACAGCGACTGAAATACTTTTACTATAAGTCCGTATTACTGTCAGTCTGAGCACTAACATACAGCGACTGAAATACTTTTACTATAAGTCAGTATTACTATCAGTCTGAAAACTCACATACATGACCTAAAATACTTAAAGTATCATTACTATGAGAATGTATGTGTCTTTATTCAGTTAAAACTGCTGTACAAACAAAACTGAATTCCACTTAAAAACCAATATTTCAGACCAATAACCCTATTCCAGATGAAGGTTATTATTTCAGATTAAAACCAAGTTCTATTTAATTAAACAAGAGGCCAAATGGGCCTGAATCGCTCACCTGGTATTAATCTCACACTTGTAATCTTAAAAGTGGATTAAAATACAGCTTCAGACAATATATCAGTGTTTGATACAAAAGAATCAGTTAAAAGATTTAAACATATGACATATGTGACCTTGAAAGTCGAAGAAGGACATTAAGTTTAATGGACTTTATAGCCTTTCATCCCAGCATGCTTCTGGCCAAATATCATTACCATGGACCTTATGGTTATTCAGATATTGTTTAAAGATTTCAACATATTTGACCCCTGTGACCTTGAAAATGGGTGAAGGTCATTCATTTGAACATACTTGGTAGCCCTTCATATCAGCATGTTACTGGCCAAATATCATCGTATAAGGCCTCTTGGTTATTCAGAAGAAGTTGTTTAAAGGTTTTAAACATATTTGACCCATATGACCTTGAATATAATTCAAGGTCATTCATTTGAACAAGTTTGGTATCCCTTCATTCAAGCATGTTACTGGCCAAACTTCATCACATTAAGCCTCTTGGTTAATCAGAAGAAGTTGTTTAAAGGTTTTAAACATATTTGACTCATGTGACCTTGAATATAGTTCAGCCTTTGGGCAGGTGAGCTAATAAACAAAGTGATTGAGTTAAGTTTCCCCTGTACATAACATTCATTTTCATATAACTTCAATTGAAATTGTCGATGTTTCTTTATTTAAAAGGCTGGGTGTTTTACTTAAATAAGACAATAAAAACAGGAAAATTTTGATCCCAGTTTCAATTTAATATACATCATGTTCAATTAAATTAGAAAGTACATATACATTACAAAATTCAATTTATTAAAATGTTCCTAGCTCCACATCATCCTTGACGAAGTTTTCCTCTCCCGAATAAAAAGAAACATATCCTATCCAAAAGTAAAGCACCCACAATATCTGCCAATAGCGTCGAGAGAACAACGGTGCGGAACTGAAACAGAAGGGGAAAAGCTTTCATTGTACATGGACTTTAAACATTGTTTTAAGCTTGCGTATACCATGGAAATTATCTGTAAATTCTTCACCAAACTTTTCCAACAGAAAGGAGGCAGACAGCCGTTAATTTCTCATTTATTTATAGCAAAAAACTTTGAATGCAATGACTAATTAAAGATGACATTACTGAATTATCTCATTCACCCCTGAAATTTCATGGTGAACTATTCAAACCTTTGAATTGGAAAATGTGTCTTCAGGGATGAACGAGTCAAAACAGCTGAAGAGCTCTAAACAATCCACATTTACTGAGTATGATCTGTTCTCTTCACAGACTTGCTTGAACTAAAATAATCAATATATGTTTATCTTCGTCTAGATTTAATAAAAATTTTCCCATTGGTTATACTAGCTTTATCTTATAAAGGAGTTACTGATCTTTTTGTTGAGTATCTCACCTCATCTGGCAGAGTAACAAGCTCAAACTGTTCCGTTACTTCTGGGAACAAGCCGCTGGACAGACCCACGATGGCGCCAGCAGATATCATCACACTGTACAACAGCGGTTTGTTGTTACGTAGGCTCTCCATGAACGGTTCGCCCTGTAAACAAGGCCAGACAAATACGCTCAATCATCAATATATCGGGTATTCAAACAAAATCAACAGAAAACAAATTTCATACTTCTCACTTTTTCTCTCTCTTTTTAATCTAGCAACAAATGGAAATTTAATTTCAACACATAGAGACAACCAGTACATATTTCGATGTCCCTTTTTCTCTTGTTTTCTCAAGACTCCTCTATACATTTCCCTCATTTTATCGCCAAACCCTTTTACATCCAACATTTTCCTGGACAAATGGTCGCAGTATAACAAGGTTTTACAGTACAACTAAATAACAATGGCGGGTTTTCTCCACACAATCTGGTTTCCTCCCACATCAAGATGTGCTGTGCACTTCAATCCAGGCCAACAACAGTGATTATTTAAGTTGAAAAATTTTGTTTCATAACTTGTAAAATCAAGTTTATATTATATATCATAAGAAAGTGATCATTTGAATCTTTGACAAAACAGCTGTAATGAAAGTGTAAGGTTTATATAAAATATATTGGGTGGGTCTTACTTACCCTATAATTTACTGCAAAAGTGGATACTTGTAGGGCCATTGATATGATGTATACAGTGGTATTTAATAGACTTGGTGAAAATTTGGCTTCTAAATCAATCTTATCCACCCTGTAAAAGCAATCAAAACAGTATTAAAACTGACAATACAGTACTGAAAGGTATTCATACTTAAGCAGTATCAATATAAATTTATTGTATGCTTTGGAACACAAAATAATAGACCACTTATTAAACTCATTTCACCAAAATGAGCAAGAACGACAAACTTTCTGAATTTCTCAATAGTAATAATGTCTCGATAACATCTATTAGAGCTGATAATCGTGAGTTTACAAGAATAGCAAAGGGATTGACATCAACTGAAGCCAATACTTTAGCACCCTGTATTAGATACAAAATACAGGCAATGTGAAAAAACAAATGACAGACTATTAACATCTTGGAGTCCTGTTCCAGATACACTGTTCGTTTATGTGGAACTGGTTTGTCTATTTTAAAATGTAACATTTTCAAGTATAAATCCTGTCAGACCTGCAAATGTTTATATGCAGGCCTTGTAGGGCTCGCCTGAAAGCAGCATCAGATTACGCAGGCTGACCTTATTTCATAAACAAACAACTCTGGTCCAACCGGTCCAACATTTCGGATCGCGATAAACGAAAGTGGCCTAGGTGTGTAGCATGAACAAACACTTGCACAGGAAACAGTGCCTTGGATCATGACCAAAAAACCAGGCAAATTCACATTACCAACATACTAGATAGGTAATGTGAAGAAAAGAACTGTGGCAAACCTACAAAGATACTAATATCTAGGCACCAAACACCAAAACACAAGACGGGTAACATGGGCCCCTTTCATGTTTCCAGCTGAACCATTTCAACCAGCTGAACCAGAAAAGAAAACGACAGGCTCAGATCTGAACTGAGGAAAACGACAGGCTCAGATCTGAACTGAGGAAAACGACAGGCTCAGATCTGAACTGAGGAAAACGACAGGCTCAGATCTGAACTGAGGAAAACGACAGGCTCAGATCTGAACTGAGGAAAACGACAGGCTCAGATCTGAACTGAGGAAAACGACAGGCTCAGATCTGAACTGAGGAAAACGACAGGCTCAGATCTGAACTGAGGAAAACGACAGGCTCAGATCTGAACTGAGGAAAACGACAGGCTCAGATCTGAACTGAGGAAAACGACAGGCTCAGATCTGAACTGAGGAAAACGACAGGCTCAGATCTGAACTGAGGAAAACGACAGGCTCAGATCTGAACCGAGGATAACCTCAGGAGTATTCAGCATGTGCATATTGAGGGGTCAAGACGGCCTGTCCGAAACTAAAATTCTGAATAATGCTAGTTTGCATTAATTCTTCATAAAACTAGCACGTTCACCATGGATATTTAAGGATATATAATATAATTAAGTGGACTCGTGAAAGATGGCTATATTATTCTTGAACATTTATGTCTACTTATAACAAAACTCTGAAACGATTTGTTTCTAAGCTCTGCCTGCAGTTCGGTCCAAGTGTGTATGTTTATCACCGAACATTTCTGCACAACCTGAACCGTTTTAACCAGGATACACAAATGCGACCATGAATAATGAACTATAGCAGGTTTATGAAGCCAAAACATTGGTACCTTGCACCAATCGATTAACACTAGAGCCACTCTTCACCAGATACATCAGACATGTAACAGGAACAAAGAACTTACGATGGAGCCAACTCCTTGGCACCGTGTACTAGATACATCAGACATGTAACAGGAACAAAGAACTTACGATGGAGCCAACTCCTTGTCACCGTGTACTAGATACATCAGACATGTAACAGGAACAAAGAACTTACGATGGAGCCAACTCCTTGTCACCGTGTACTAGATACATCAGACATGTAACAGGAACAAAGAACTTACGATGGAGCCAACTCCTTGTCACCGTGTACTAGATACATCAGACATGTAACAGGAACAAAGAACTTACGATGGAGCCAACTCCTTGTCACCGTGTACTAGATACATCAGACATGTAACAGGAACAAAGAACTTACGATGGAGCCAACTCCTTGTCACCGTGTACTAGATACATCAGACATGTAACAGGAACAAAGAACTTACGATGGAGCCAACTCCTTGTCACCGTGTACTAGATACATCAGACATGTAACAGGAACAAAGAACTTACGATGGAGCCAACTCCTTGTCACCGTGTACTAGATACATCAGACATGTAACAGGAACAAAGAACTTACGATGGAGCCAACTCCTTGTCACCGTGTACTAGATACATCAGACATGTAACAGGAACAAAGAACTTACGATGGAGCCAACTCCTTGTCACCGTGTACTAGATACATCAGACATGTAACAGGAACAAAGAACTTACGATGGAGCCAACTCCTTGTCACCGTGTACTAGATACATCAGACATGTAACAGGAACAAAGAACTTACGATGGAGCCAACTCCTTGTCACCGTGTACTAGATACATCAGACATGTAACAGGAACAAAGAACTTACGATGGAGCCAACTCCTTGTCACCGTGTACTAGATACATCAGACATGTAACAGGAACAAAGAACTTACGATGGAGCCAACTCCTTGTCACCGTGTACTAGATACATCAGACATGTAACAGGAACAAAGAACTTACGATGGAGCCAACTCCTTGTCACCGTGTACTAGATACATCAGACATGTAACAGGAACAAAGAACTTACGATGGAGCCAACTCCTTGTCACCGTGTACTAGATACATCAGACATGTAACAGGAACAAAGAACTTACGATGGAGCCAACTCCTTGTCACCGTGTACTAGATACATCAGACATGTAACAGGAACAAAGAACTTACGATGGAGCCAACTCCTTGTCACCGTGTACTAGATACATCAGACATGTAACAGGAACAAAGAACTTACGATGGAGCCAACTCCTTGTCACCGTGTACTAGATACATCAGACATGTAACAGGAACAAAGAACTTACGATGGAGCCAACTCCTTGTCACCGTGTACTAGATACATCAGACATGTAACAGGAACAAAGAACTTACGATGGAGCCAACTCCTTGTCACCGTGTACTAGATACATCAGACATGTAACAGGAACAAAGAACTTACGATGGAGCCAACTCCTTGTCACCGTGTACTAGATACATCAGACATGTAACAGGAACAAAGAACTTACGATGGAGCCAACTCCTTGTCACCGTGTACTAGATACATCAGACATGTAACAGGAACAAAGAACTTACGATGGAGCCAACTCCTTGTCACCGTGTACTAGATACATCAGACATGTAACAGGAACAAAGAACTTACGATGGAGCCAACTCCTTGTCACCGTGTACTAGATACATCAGACATGTAACAGGAACAAAGAACTTACGATGGAGCCAACTCCTTGTCACCGTGTACTAGATACATCAGACATGTAACAGGAACAAAGAACTTACGATGGAGCCAACTCCTTGTCACCGTGTACTAGATACATCAGACATGTAACAGGAACAAAGAACTTACGATGGAGCCAACTCCTTGTCACCGTGTACTAGATACATCAGACATGTAACAGGAACAAAGAACTTACGATGGAGCCAACTCCTTGTCACCGTGTACTAGATACATCAGACATGTAACAGGAACAAAGAACTTACGATGGAGCCAACTCCTTGTCACCGTGTACTAGATACATCAGACATGTAACAGGAACAAAGAACTTACGATGGAGCCAACTCCTTGTCACCGTGTACTAGATACATCAGACATGTAACAGAAACAAAGAACTTACGATGGAACCAACTCCTTGTCACCGTGCACTAGATACATCAGACATGTAACAGAAACCAAGAACTTACGATGGAGCCAACTCCTTGGCACCGTGTACTAGATACATCAGACATGGAACAGGAACAAAGAACTTACGATGGAGCCAGCTCCTTGTCACCGTGCACTAGATACATCAGACATGTAGCAGGAACAAAGAACTTACGATGGAGCCAACTCCTTGGCACCGTGTACTAGATACATCAGACATGGAACAGAAACAAAGAACTTACAATGGAGCCAACTCCTTGTCACCGTGCACTAAATACATCAGCCATGTAACAGGAACAAAGAACTTACGAAGGAGCCAACTCCTTGTCACCGTGCACTAGATACAGCAGACATGTAACAGGAACAAAGAACTTACAATGGAGCCAACTCCTTGTCACCGTGCACTAAATACATCAGCCATGTAACAGGAACAAAGAACTTACGAAGGAGCCAACTCCTTGTCACCGTGCACTAGAAACATCAGACATGTAACAGAAACAAAGAACTTACAATGGAGCCAACGCCTTGTCACCGTGTACTAAATACATCAGACATGTAACAGGAACAAAGAACTTACGAAGGAGCCAACTCCTTGTCACCGTGCACTACATACATCAGACATGTAACAGAAACAAAGAACTTACAATGGAGCCGACTCCTTGTCACCGTGCACTAGATACAGCAGACATGTAACAGGAACAAAGAACTTACAATGGAGCCAACGCCTTGTCACCGTGTACTAGATACATCAGACATGGAACAGAAAGAAAGAACTTACGATGGAACCAACTCCTTGTCACCGCGCACTAGATACATCAGACATGTAACAGGAACAAAGAACTTATGATGGAGCCAACTCCTTGTCACCGCGTACTAGATACATCAGACATGTAACAGGTACAAAGAACTTACGATGGAGCCAACTCCTTATCACCGTGCACTAGATACATCAGACATGTAGCAGGAACAAAGAACTTACGATGGAGCCAACGCCTTGTCACCGTGTACTAGATACATCAGACATGGAACAGAAACAAAGAACTTACAATGGAGCCAACTCCTTGTCACTGTGCACTAGATACATCAGACATGTAACCGGAACAAAGAACTTACGATGGAGCCAACGCCTTGGCACCGTGCACTAGATACATCAGACATGCAACAGGAACAAAGAACTTACGATGGAGCCAACGCCTTGTCACCGTGTACTAAATACATCAGACATGTAACAGGAACAAAGAACTTGCGATGGAGCCAACTCCTTGTCCCCGTGCACTAGATACATCAGACATGTAGCAGGAACAAAGAACTTACGATGGAGCCCAACTCCTTGTCACCGTGTACTAGATACAGCAGACATGTAACAGGAACAAAGAACTTGCGATGGAGCCAACTCCTTGTCCCCGTGCACTAGATACATCAGACATGTAACAGAAACAAAGAACTTACGATGGAGCCAACTCCTTGGCACCGTGCACTAGATGTACCAGGCAGGTGAAGTGGACAAAGAACTGCAGGAGTACAGTGAGCAGTGTATACAGGTTAAGTATGTTGGTTAGTGGACGCTCTTTGGACAATGTCTTCAGTGGCTGCAACAATAATTAACAACAACTTAAACAAGATGTTATTATAATATATAAAATTATCAAAGCTTTACTTTATACACAAACAATGTACGTATTAAACGTGTCACAACATTCAAGACCGACTGGTCCCTTAGTCAAATGTTGACTGAGTGAGCGATTTGTATTGTTTACCTGTACAACGATGTGACGAAATTGTATATTTCCCTCAACCTAGGACGTTTTGCCTCTTGATAGAGAGGGTATACACACTGTGTCCAAAAGGTTACTGGTAGGGTGTAGATCAAGCCTCCTATCCCACATTCGATACGTACATTATTTGTGTATAAAGTGACACTTTGATATTACATATTACCGAACTGATGAATCTTATTGAAGATGTCATTATATCTACTGAATCTTTTCAAACTGGTTATCATTTTTCACTGGATTTGATATTCCAACTTTGAGTTTAACAAATTTTAATAGAACAGGTTTTGAATGAAGTACACATCTTCACCCATATATCATATCGTATCATATCAAAGTCCTCTCGTACAGCAAAACTGCTGTATTCTTTCCTGATCGTATTCATGGGCAAATTTATTTCATTGCTTCCCACACAGACCCAAAAGACAAGCAGCGGTTGTTGGAGAACTAGAAACAGAATTATTATCCCCTCGCAATGAAAGTTCTATTCATTTCCTCATACATATGTCACACAATGAGTGAATGCGAGGGGGTTTGTATCACTTGTGATGCCTTGTTGATCTTGTATTGCTCTCTGACAAAACCTTCTAACACCTGCAGCAACATTCACAGGTGCATCAACATTTATCTGCTTTACTTTTTTCATTAAAAATAAGATAATTCAGTCTTCCCACTTAACGTAGATGTTCTAAGTGATGTAGAAATTAGCTTGAAAATATACTTGATGCAAATTTCTCTCAGTGACAATAGGTCACATGGCTCAAGGTCACCTATGACCTTAATTTGGCCTCCTCACCTTTGACCTTGATATAAATAGAAAACATCCAGCCAATAGGAGGCCCTGCATGGTTGCTTGACTGTCGCTGAACTTGATACCATCCAGGTATAGGACGCTCTGACTGTAGGCTAGGATCAGGGCGTTAAGGGCAAGAATCTTAAACATCTGGAGAGTTGTTACTAGAGTACAGCGCCCTTGTTTTATCACATGGCAAACTGAAAATCAGAAACGGTATGGAAATATTACAACATATTTCTCCAAACTCTTCAAGTATAATAGATGGGTCAGGTTCAAAGTTTGAAGGATGTTACTAAACCAAACAATGTGTCGCATCTACACTCTGAAAGATTTTAGTAAGCAGGCAATGTCATAGGCAAACCTAAAAATTACACTTGAACAAAATTGTTGATGAAAAAAAAAAAAAAAAACTTTCAGTACATTAAAGGTTACATCTTTTCTCTGATTTTATCTATTTTGTAATTTTTGTTGATCTTGACATGATCTGAAGAAGAACAATGCATATATGAAGTATTTCTTTCTTAATCACTTAGCATGTGGATAGGATATACTTTGTAAATGAAAAGATTACACTTTCACAGAGTGGAGCTCTAATTATACTCACTGCACATTGGTGTAGACAGTTTTGATGTAAATGGTGAGGCTATACTGGCATCTCCTAATCTGATCACTTGAGCTTTCTCCTCCTCCTCTAAATCCTTCAGCATATTAGCAAGCTTTTTCTATGAAAAATGAAAGAAATTGATACTGGATATTTTTTTATTTTTCAGAAAATTTAACATAAAACTGACTCAAGAGTTTTAAAGCTGGCAATAAATGTTAAGTGTCACTCAAATAAGTTTAATTCTCCTCCTCAAGACATCCCTTCACAAACATGAATCATTGTATTACTGTGCATTGCATAGTGAATCATCTGACTGCCACTGTGTTAAACACTCCAGAACACTTTACATAAAGCAATCCACTTGTGGTGATACACAACTTACAGGCAACAGCTGAACATCACACAGCAAACAATACAAAGAAATGTCCATTGTACTATTTATGATAATAAATATTTTGAATGCATGATAGGAGTCAAGCTTACAACCTCTGGTACCCTCCAGACTATTTTGGATTACTTGCCATGTAGCCTGTAACATTTTTGGTAAAATTTTATTAACAGGCAATTGGTTTCTATATTAACAATTTAATAGCTATATAAAGGAATGTTTTTTGATAATAGAATATGAAAACAAATTGATTTAAAGTTAGCAGTTCAACAAAAAAAAAGATATTTATTTAATGTCATAACAATGTGTTTCTAGTAATTGACAATTGAGTCATATTGATTTGCAAGTTGAATGTTTGCAAACATTTTTTTGGGGAAGTGATTAATAGAATCATCCCCTACCTTGAGGGTGTGACAGAGAAACATCCAACCCGAGAGGTGTTGTTTTTTTGGTTGTCTAACCAAAGGCTCTGCCGAGGGTAAGACAACCAAAACCAAAACAATCACCCTGGGGGTTGGAGATTTCTCTGTTACACCCTCAAGGTAGCCTACAGATGATTATTTTTCTCCCATCTTATTGTTTTAGTCACAACACCACTGACAGTAGTCTGCCATGTTTGTAAACAAAAACACATGTGGGGTATGCATATTGTCATTCACTTTTGATGACGTCACAATTACCAGCGACACACTTTATGACGTCACAATTGAACATGTGCTAATCGGCACGAGGATATCTCCCTCTAGAGGGTGACAAGCTGCTCTTTCCCGGCTAAAACCTTTCCCGGCTAAAACGGGAGACACCCCTGTGAAGGGTGGGAGAAACAGCTATGAAAGTTGAGCAGTGTTCACCTGTCAGTTGTTGACTTTTTAATAAACACTTAATACCGCAGCAGTGAGAGGGTCAGTCACTCTCCAATATGACCAGCAAAAATGTCTGACAATGTACTTCCTGTTTGTAACAGGATGACTCAACGCGGACTGTTATATTATTTGTATGGTATATCAGTTGTTCTTAACTTGCACTGGTGCACGGCAGTAGATTCTAGAGTTAACACCAAGAATACGAGAATCTTGCTGTCAAGAGATCTTCACGACAACAACTCATTGCATACTCTCTTTTATTTTCAGTGCTGTTAAATTTGCAGCCAAGCTGGTAATAAGCTCCGGGACAAGAAAATATATAAATTGCAGAAATAGTACTGCAATGAGAACACCACTCTCAACAGTAGCATACCTGTGCTGGCGCTAGGTTATCTCCCCTGGCAATAGCTCTCTGTTTGGCAGCTCTGCTTCCCCCTTTAGAACGGGACATCATTGAGTGTTTATCGTTTTGGTTTTCATTTTGTCCTGCTTCTCCATCCACAGATGATCCCTGATAGTGACAATTGTTTACTTAACTGTAAAATGGTCCAATATTTTTTAAACGGTTCCTTTTTTCAGAATTGTTAATAAACCATTAATGGGAACTTAGGATAATCAAAAGAGTATAGATTGCAACCAGTATAAATCCTCAGCGTTTTTTCTCCATTAACCAATTATTATCAAAATCATTTCCATCAATGTTTATTGTTTATTTAACAAGTTTTCCTAGAAGTGCAGACATAAAATGGGTAAAAAATATGTGTTTAGCATTTGCACTCCATCAAGCATAATAATTTCAACTGCACAAAACTAACTGTGAGAATAACAGTAGCGACAATTATTAAAACATCCCCTTTAAAGATGTAACACAATGTAGTGTCATGCAACTACATGTATTCTTACATAGTAGAATGATGAGAAAGATTCGACTAAAGACATTATTACAGTATTTTGAAAAGAATGAGAAATCAATTACACCAATATAAGAAATACAGTTAAAATTCTAGAAGATGTTGAGGAATATGCCTGTATTTTGTAAATTGATATAAAAACTGATCATTGCATAAAAGTTAGACTACTACTCATCAAACCCTCTTTAAACAGTTTGTCAACATCAACTGTTTCACTGGACAACAAGTAAGTAGTTTAAAATATACAATTAAACTTTTCGTCACAACATGCTAGTTAGTGCCACATTTTAACCTATTGTAAAGTTACCTCATCAGCAGCTCTACGCTTCTTTCTCTCTGGTGCTTTTTCTGGAGCATTACATAAAAGGGCCACACCAACATGGGCGTGTTTGAGCGCTCCAACATCATTGGTTCCGTCCCCACACATCAATGTTGTGTAGCCGTAGTCCTTTAATGTTGTTATGACAATCTCCTAGGCAACCAAACACAGATATACAATTAGTCATCTACATCAAGTTATTCTGTAACTATATGACGGTCTGAATTAACTGATAATCATACAATTAATGTACAATATAATTCTTTTCCATCACCACAAATACTGCTTTGTTTCGAACATTGTAGGTTACCAGCTTAAATGTCAGTACATGTATAACTGTATTACTACACAATCATAATCATTGGCTTTCCCTACATTGGAGATGGATCAGATAAGTTTCATACTTTGGCAAGAAACCCATATTACTTCATAGTTGTATGTGATTCAAATGTAGTAAAATGTAACCATGATGTACTACCAAATACTGTGAAATCAGATATTTTCGTGGTTTCCCGACAAAACACCATTTCATTGGTACATGACTTCATGGAATACGAGTACTCACTAAACCGGAGTATTGCTTTATATCAAGCTTGTAATTCCTTCGTGGACCTATGAATTTGTGGATGAAAATTAACCACAAAATCAACAAAGTTAAAACTCCCATGAAAATAAGTGATTTCACAGTAATGATTTAATCAATAGTGATAGTAATACTGACCTTCTGCTTTGGTGCTACTCTGGCAAACACACGTACATTTGGTAATAGTATTCTCATCAACTTTGGATCTGTTTGTATGTAAGTAAGAGCCTGAAATACACAACAACAGTTATCACAATGTTTCCACACAACAACAGTTATCACAATGTTTCTACACAACAACAACAGTTATCACAATGTTTCTACACAACAACAACAGGTATCACAATGTTTCTACAAACATACACAACCGTTATCACAATGTTTCTACACAACAACACCAGTTATCACAATGTTTCTACAAACATCCACAACACTTATCACAATGTTTCTACACTACAACAACAGTTATCACAATGTTTCTATACGACAACAGTTATCATAATGTGTCTACACAACAACAGTTATCACAATGTTTCCACACAACAACAGTTATCACAATGTTTCCACACAACAACAGTTATCACAATGTTTCCACAGAACAACAGTTATCACAATGTTTCTACAGAACAACAACAGTTATCGCAATGTTTCTACAAACATACACAACAGTTATCACAATGATTCTACACAACAACAGTTGTCACAATGTTTCTACAAACATACACAATAGTTATCACAATGTTTCTACACAACAAAAACAGTTATCACAATGTTTCTACAAACATCCACAACACTTATCACAATGTTTCTACACAACAACACCAGTTATCACAATGTTTCTACAAACATACACAACCGTTATCACAATGTTTCTACACAACAACAACACTTATCACAATGTTTCTACACTACAACAACAGTTATCACAATGTTTCTATACGCCAACAGTTATCACAATGTTTCTACACAATAACAACAGTTATCACAATGTTTCTATACGCCAACAGTTATCACAATGTTTCTACACAATAACAACAGTTATCACAATGTTTCTATACGACAACAGTTATCACAATGTTTCTACACAATAACAACAGTTATCACAATGTTTCTACACATCAACAACAGTTATCACAATATTTCTACACAACAACACCAGTTATCCCAATGTTTCTACAAACATCCACAACACTTATCACAATGTTTCTACCCGACAACAACAGTTATCACAATGTTTCTACAGAACAACAACAGTTATCGCAATGTTTCTACAAACATACACAACAGTTGTCACAATGTTTCTACACAACAACAACAGTTATCACAATGTTTCTATACGACAACAGTTATCACAATGTTTCTACACAACAACAGTTATCACAATGTTTCTACAAACATACACAACACCAAAAACAGTTATCACAATGTTGATTACTATAATGCTTGCCTATCAAAGTTTTTTGTTTTAATCTAAAAGAAAGCTTTTCATATTTCAATGACAATATAGAAGAACTTTAAGAAAAGTTAACAAAATTCACTGACATAAAACTATGTGCTGAAAAATATCAAACCTTGGCAATATGGAGCTATTATAAGGACTTACCTCCCCTGTTAGACAGAGGTCATATTGACCAATCAGCTGTTTGCGGATATTGTCCATTTTTACTGGCAGTATAACTTTGTCATCTATGGACTGCCAGTGCCAGGAAGAGTCTGTAATATGACAGGATACCGTTTAACAAAAACAGAGATGGCCTGGAAATGACCAGTAGAGCACCCACTTCTACAGTAGTACCTATCAGAGAATTTGACCAGTAGAGCACCCACATCTACAGTAGAACCTATCGGAGAATTTGACCAGTAGAGCACCTTCATCTACAGTAGTACCTATCGGAGAATTTCTTTTTTGAGTTGGCTATGTTTGTGTTTGTGTTCTATTAACAGCTATGGTCATTGAAGGCCATGCCAAATTTTGCTGGTGAGAAAAGCTAGAGTTCCTTGAGAAAAATTCACCGATCTACGGACAGTACCTGGCGACTGCACCACGTAGATTTGAACCCCCAACCCAGTGGTGGAGGGCTAGTGGTAGCAGAATGTCAGACGCCTTAACCACTCGGCCACCTGGAGAATAGTGTATTTTTCTGAGGTAAATTGATTAAGTACTGCATTATTTAGTATAGACCATTACTACAGCCTTCTAGTTTATCTGAGCTAATACTAACTATTACAATACATGGTATAGACTATCAAAACAGCCTTAGAGTTTCTACAAGGTAAACTCGTTATTGTAATACCTACCGGTAGTGTAGAGTACAGCCTTCTGTTTTTATTGAATATAAATCCTACTAGGAATCTGATGTGTGCACGTGGCGTGCCACACATATGTTTTGCATGTAAGTTAGTTGTTTCAAGGCAATGATTGATATATTATTACAGATCTAAAAGCTACCAACCTTTATCATTTGGAGGGGTGAGAATGACAGTTATCTTCTTTGTAAATCGGAGCTCTTTGGCAACATGGCAGGCAGTCAATGGGTTGTCTCCTGTTATCATGACGACCTGTCAATGAACATCCCAATCACAATTACAATACACTGAAATATTTTAACACAAATTATCTGGTAATACAAAAATTCTCAATGTTGCTTTTATCTTGAATTACGTAAAAGTTTATACCTTGAATTACGCAGGAAACTGTAAGTTGTTCAATATGTATAGTGTTTTTGAGCAAATGAGGATGTTACTCTTGGGTCTAGATCTCTTGTCTAGGGCATTTATGAAAAAATTAAAGATTATCTAACAACTTCAGCTTAAGCTTCTTCAGTGCCTTTTGTATTTTCCCAATTCTCTCAGTATATCGTGCAAGCAATAGAAAGTGTATTTTTGCAAAGAAAATCCATCTCTATCCTGGTATAGTGGTAATGTTATAACATACGTAATGAGATGAATTGATGATCTCCTTGATGACGGCCTTGGAGTCGGACTTAAGTGGACAGGAAATGATGATGAATCCACAGAAGTCAAGGTCACACTCGACACTCTCACGTTTCATGTCTCGCACCTGTAATCAACGTCACAAAAAAGTTTGTGATAAAACATGTTAACCATGAAATCGAATGCTATTTTAATAAAATCTGAAACCATAGTTTTCATTAAATATCCCAATATGAAAACTTGCAACCATCTTGACGATTAAGATACAAGGTCGTTTGTGACATGCTGTATAGTTTTGATACAGACATCTATGATGCTTCAAATGAATTGAAACCAAAATGACACTCATTTTATAACCTTGATTTTTAGGTGTGGACCTGGAAGTGTTCTGCAGCAGGCCTAGGTTTTTCAATCATGATCTGCACATCTCTGAAGTTTCATAAAGAATTCTTGAGGCAATACAAGGTGCCTTGGCACTTTGTAGGGGGTTTAAAATGGAAAAGACCATCCAATGCTTTTTCAAAGGGAAGTGTTACACCATTTTGATAAAATGTTTCTCCCCAATAAACGCCCATGTTGTGATTTTTCCTGACCAAAATGGTCTTTTCCATTTTATACCCCCTACTGTATGAAACCCAATCATTTACCACTTATGTTTGTTACCTGTTGGTGCGAGAGGTTGCCCAGCTTTTTGTACCCAAGTGCCAGAACCCTGGCCCCCCGCCTCGCCATCTCCAGGTACACCGTATCATAGTGATCTGGGGGGCTCTTAAACTGCAAACAATTAAGAAAGTCAAATGTCAATACAAGTTCGTCAGACAAACTAAATCACATGAAATCACGTGATAATACAAAGTTACATACAAGAATGTTTCTGTAAAAAAATACCCAAGGCATTTCAATACTTTTCATAAATCAACTATTACAATAGCAAAACAACTAGTTCTAAGGAAAATTAAAAGGATCATAATAAGAGATTAGTACTTAAATCCAAAGGATTCTGAAAATTTCTCATATATAATATTTATTGTAACTTGATAATTATAAATACCATAGATTTGAGTGTCTCTGGGGCTCCCTTGACGGTTGCTATGTACTCTGTATCCATGGCACCAGGTGGGGTGTGGCCAGAAATAACAGACATGCGTTTGAGGGCACTGGAGAAGTGGTAACGGTGGAATATCTTGAGGCCATGTGTCTTACGCTTCAGTGGAACCACAGTGTCACCTGTAAACAAAGGGAAGTAAATCATCAAGTTTCTTATTAAGAGGATCATGACCAGTACATCGAATGTTCCAAACCTGATCTACATCTTCTCATATTTCCATTTCGGTTGTACAGCCTCTATATAAACCTACCTCCTCAAAATATTGCTAAAAGAGCATAACATCAAGGCCCCTTTTGCATATCTGGTTCTACCGATTTGTCTGTTTTCACATGTAAAAGTTTTCGGGTAAAAATCCAGCCGGACCTGCAAATGTTTATGTAGGCCTTGCAAGGCTTTGTCAAGGCTCACCTGAAAGCAGCATCAGATTACTTATTTCATAAACCGTTTGGATCGAGAACCACTACCTGTGAACATCTTATAATCAGACACTTTTCTCTTCTTATTGTTAATGTCATTTGGAACCAATCATGTCATGACATCAAAATACAAAATTATACAAAATTAATACAAAATTAATGTTGACAGAAATCATGACTGGCTTCCAATTGACATTTTGTCGCCTGACAAATTGTAAACAATAGTAACACGACCTTGTAGATTGTCCAACAAAAATAGCTGTCCCAGTATTTGGTCAAACGGTTCGTTTAAAATATTTGACATAACGAAAAGGAAACCACTGGCAAAGTTTGAAAGTAAATACGTATACATGGGTAAGGATTTACATGCATATTACAAACATTTAAGATGGTATGAACCCCAATCATTTACCAACAATTTTCTAATGATTCTGGAATATGTTTGTAAACAACTTTTGCATAAACAAATGTCCCGACTTGCCACAGTATATACCAAACTGCCCATCTGTTTCAGTTACAATTGACTTGTTTGTTGTTCAGGTCTAGATCAAACTGACCTTTAGTCAAATTCCACTCCACAGCCTTGAGTGTGGCCTTCTCGAGGGGATCCCCCACAAGGTCATCCTCCAACTGGACAAGAGCATGACAGGTCGCCAACACATGGACAGTCTGCAGGGAGGCGTCGCTTACAAGAGAAATCTCATTCCCACTAATAAAGATATAACATCAGTTTTTATTACATTTATATTTACATTTGAACTGCAACCCTCTATATGAACATTACCAGCAAAAATGCATGGATTGAACAGTGTTTTTTTTTTAATTTTCATGCCGGTATGAACGCAAATCGGTTACATCCATACTAAACATGAAGCCCACTAGAGGGCTTCATGCAATATAAATGTAACCGATTTGCGTTCATACCGGCATGAAAATTTAAAAAAAAAACACTGTTCAATCCCTATTTACTACACTAAGTGAAATACACGTAATAGTAAATCTTCTTCATTATAGTAAGTAAAAACGTTATATTTTACTGCATTATGATATGTATAACGAAAACATATTTTTTTACTAGTGAAGAATAACACTTTTGCAGATTTCAACAAACAAAAATCAGAATAGCAAACCAATAACTATTAGTTAGAAATCAATCAGAAAGCCTGAAATGCACATGTTTAACATTGCCTTTGATTGTGATGTCATGAACATCTCTTTCATAAGTGGTGGTTCTGTTCCGCAACGTAAAGGGATTCTGATGTTCTGAAGCATTTTCTTAAGTGTCTGTGTAACAGTGACCTACTTAATTCCTATGATAACCTCTATTACAAGTGTCTGTGTAACAGTGACCTACTTAATTCCTATGGCAACCTCTGTTACCAATGTATGTGTAGCAGTGACCTACTTTATTTCTGTATCAAGCTCTATTACAAGTGTCTGTGTAACAGTGACCTACTTAATTCCTATGATAACCTATATTACAAGTGTCTGTGTAGCAGAGACCTACTTAATTCCTATGATAACCTCTATTACAAGTGTATGTGTAGCAGTGACCTACCTAATTCCTATGACAACCTCTTTTACCAGTGACTGTATAGCAGTGACCTACTTAATTCTTATGATAACCTCTATTACAAGTGTCTGTGTAACAGTGACCTACTTAATTCCTATGGCAACCTCTGTTACCAATGTATGTGTAGCAGTGACCTACTTTATTTCTGTATCAAGCTCTATTACAAGTGTCTGTGTAACAGTGACCTACTTAATTCCTATGGCAACCTCTGTTACCAATGTATGTGTAGCAGTGACCTACTTTATTTCTGTATCAAGCTCTATTACAAGTGTCTGTGTAACAGTGACCTACTTAATTCCTATGATAACCTCTATTACAAGTGTTTGTGTAGCAGTGACCTACTTTATTCCTGTGACAACCTCTATTACAAGTGTCTGTGTAGCAGTGACCTACCTAATTCCTATGACAACCTCTTTTACCAGTGACTGTATAGCAGTGACCTACTTAATTCTTATGATAACCTCTATTACAAGTGTTTGTGTAGCAGTGACCTACTTTATTCCTGTGACACCTTCCACTACCATAGTATCTGAAGTCAAAGTTCCTGTTTTATCAAAGCAGCAAACATCCACTTTCCCAGCAAATGGAATTCTGAATGGTTCTGTGCAGTACACATCTACAAAAGTAACAGAGAAACATGATCATCATACCAGTACACCGCTAATCTGATCAAAATACTGCTTGATGGAGCAATTCCAATCATAACATTATTTAACATTCATTAAGAAACAACTCTGTTCATACATCATTCATCATATTTTTACATCCACTAACATAATGAATTAATTATTTAACATACTTACAGAGTTTACTGAGGGCCAACAAGCTTGTGTTGACAGCCAGGGATAACTCTATGGGCAGTTCCGGAGGAACCACTGACGTCAGAATAAGGGTGCATTCTAAAAATAACTTGTAGCGATTCCTTTCTGGGTCTTCAGTACCTAAGTCAAGATAAAAATACCATCATAAGTCTAAAAAAAATGCATTTATTGCCTGCTTGAAAGCATCATAAAATCACTTTAATAGGAAACTTATAACTACTTCATGCAAAGAACCACTGAAAAGTTTTTTCACATTTACACACTTTGGAAACAAATGTTATTAAAATGCCAAGAAAACTTTCTTGACAATTTTGGTTTAACCCTTTCACCACTGTAGACCATAATGGACTCATCCAGATCAATGCATGGTAGAGTCTACTAAAGTTACCTAGGGGTGAAAGGGTTAAAGAAAAACATCAGAAGCTATACAATCATCAATGATACCTTTGATCCAGACATAGGCTGCTGCAGCAATTGCAAACACCAACAGAAACAGGATGAAGATGAAAGTCTCCAGGTTGTTGGCTGTCACTCGCTTCACGCCAAACAAAATGGTTCGCAGGAGTTTGCCCTGGGATGTGTTGAAACTGTGCCGCAACACATAGGCAATACATCCATTGTCACTGGCTGTAACACACAAAAATCATGTTAATGGGTGAAATATAAAATTATTTTTAACAACTTTTAACTATCACTGGTGTGTATAACAATACCATGTTATATTGACCCTTTGAGGCCTCGGGACCAGGTATTATCAGACTAGGGAAACTAGCATTATTTTCTATAAAATTTACAATACATTTGGGGATAAAAATTCTGAAACATTAGAGTCAAAACAATATTTTCCCTCGATTCATTTTCGACATTGTATAATAAAGTAACTGCAGCACGATTCTCATTCCATATGCTTCAATGTGAACTCAATCTGGTTGCTTTATAAACTCGTATATGTTCTTGCGTTGAGGTTCTCATTCAGTTAGCTACATTACGATTTTAAATCGGAGTGCTTCTTATTTATAAAATGATCCCATTAGACCGAAAAAATTACTTGGTTCTCAGGCCTGCGCACATTTCATTTTAAGGCACTGCATTGCCGATTTTATCGTGAAAGAAAACAAAACAAAATCGTGAATGCACCAGCCGCCGTCTTTTAAAAAATGCGGAAAATTGGTCCACATGTCGTTTTTACTCGTTAGTCACCCAAGTCCCGAAAACGTTTGAATAAGGATAAGGAAATTGATATACAGGCAAGCGTTAAAACGATTATGACTTATTAGTCTTGTGTACAAATGGCGCTCATTTCAGTACAAAATTACAGGAGCTTGTTACCCTGTATCAGCCGTCACGACCACTGCGGTCGGAGTCAGAATCTTTGATGTGTGCCCCAAAATCTCGTACTGTGACCTACGGAAACAGATGCTTTGGGAGGGTTTCGGCTATCTTGTAGAATAGCTTACCATCTGCTATTAGAAAGTCAAATACCCTGGCCAAGTTCAAGAGGGACATCAAAACTCACCTCTTCACGTCTGCATTTTAGAATCTTTGTAAAGAGGTTATGTAAATACCACCCTTTTATTTGTTCAATTAAGTGCACATTGCTTGCTTAAATGTATAAAAGTGATTGTAAGCCTTTGTTTTTTGTTTTCACAATTATAACCATTACTATTATCCATATGTTGTAAAGCGCTTTAGAGTAATTTTACAAATTATACAGGGTGCTATATAAATGTTGTATGTTATTATTATTACTATTACACATAAGGAATGGGGGGGGTTCGTTATTCTCGTTTGGAACATTGTGGGGGGATTTTTGGAGGCTTGCTCTATGACGGGTCTCTACACAACTATAAAAAGACAAGGTAATGCCTACAATGAATGTTTTACATGTAAAATGGAAAAAAAAAATACCTCCCTGCCGCATCTCTTTTGAAAAAATTGGCCCGAGAACAAAGTAATTTTTTTTTTGCCTTATTTGACAATGTGTTCGATTGAAATATTTTTCCAGCATGGCTTTCACTCAGAAAAATTACACATCAATTGCTTTGTTAATTTTTGTTTACGCCGACCTTTCAGTCCTGGTCCAGTTTTACTGGGTGGGGTATGCTGTACCACCTTCGTCCCACCATACAACACATGTAACTTTCCATCAGTCTCAATGTCTAGCACATGACTGGCCTCCAAGATTTCAACAGGTTCCTGTCAAAATACACACAGGATGTTACATCCACAACAATGCTATCAAACACGACAATTTAGGATCCCCGCACCACAGCCAAAAACCGTTGAATAGGAAACTTTTTATCAACACGAAAATAGCTTTAATAAATCATTTTTGAAAGGTGAAATACAAATGTTGACATCAGTGTTCTCAGCAAAAAAATGCAACTGGAACACACCAGGGCTTGTATTCATGAAACTGTTCTCATGCTCAAGCATGGATTTTTGCTCAGTCTTATCTCTCGCTCCTGTTATAAATTAATAAAAAAAACCTTTTATTTTGTCAATGATTTGGAAAAAAATTGAAGAGACTTAAAGCCAAATACTGTTTTCAATGTTTACAAATGATGTTCGATCTATTATCTTGATTGAAGTGAGTTACAAGAAAGTTAGTTGATCACAGAATCCATGCTTGAGCATGAGAACGGTTTCATGAATATGGACCCTGGATTCAAATCATGGACCTTCGAGCTCACTACGGTCGCTCTAACCACCTGAGCTACCTGATCAGCAGAAATCACCTAGCCCATTTACTCCCATAACATGAGAGGCCGCTGGTTAAGGTGAGTTACTGTATATATGATAAACTACAGTAGAATTCTCTCGTATTTTGCCTGCAGTTGGAACAAGGAGCCTTAAACATTATATACACAAAGGAGAATAATACAATGTACTAGTATATTATAATAAATAATTCATCAAATTATAACTGCAATTGTATCTGAAAATTAATAGCAAATGTAAGTAAGAACACTTGTGGCAGATAATTTAACATATTCACCATCCTGCATGCCGAACACAGATTTGTTATAAGCATTGTAAATTCGAGATTGACGGCAGGGTAATACCTTCATCACAGGGATAGACTCCCCTGTCAGCATGGCTTCGTCCACGATACATGGACCCCGCAGCAACAGCAAATCACAGGGAACGAGTCTGTCCTCCTGGGAGCGACCTTTAAGTATTTAATAAAGAAAATTACTTAATGTATTTAAGGATCCCCGTAACACAGTAACTATATTATGGAAACTGTTTTTTCTGGCATGACTATAACTTTGATAAATCATTTCTGAAAAATAAAATAAATCATACCTTATGGGACTTTATGAGAAATAATATGAAATAAACAAGATTTAAATCAACAACAATGTTCTCAGTGTAAAAATTAAGCAGGGCCAGACTGGGATTTGAACCCCGTACTTCACATTGTCTTACTATTGCTCTTACAAATTTTAAAGCTGATATGTTTGTTTTTCAAGCGATGTTCGAAACGAACACAGCACAGTAGCATGCTCAACTATGTTATCAAACTTAGGGAGGGGGATACTGAAAATCAGACTGAAGCAATCTTTAATAAGTTGTTCATACAGATAAAGCCACAATACATTACCTATGGAGACAACATCCCCTGGCACGAGTTCATTGGTCATGATCGGTCTCCAGCGTCTGTTTCTGTACACCTGTGTTACAACAACATCATAATTCAAACTAAAAAGTGATGTTTGTAACATAAATTAGCTTCATTTATAATATTTTGTCTCTGGTCATTCAACTGATAAAACAATGACCCAATAATTCTTTGGACTTTTTATCAACCTTTAACAGTTCTATACCAATCATGAACCAATAGTCATGACCAAGTACAAATATTCTGCTGAAGAATGCAAATTTAAGCAAAGTGTATTGATAAATTATATTTTATAACATCTCATCTTTATCTTTGTTGTGTATTTTAAAATATATGAGATAATTTTAATGACTTTTTTTCTGTATTTCTGTAGTATATTCCTACCTGTATAAGATATAGCTTGTTCCCAATTTTCTATACTGGTATTTCTGTTGTGTATTTTTATCTGTATGCGATATGCTTTGTTCCCTAATGTCTGTTTAATCCTGTTTATAACCTATTCATCTCTAATAATTATCTATATTTGATAATTTGAAGTATAATTTCACCCGTACGCAATATGTATTTTTCCCTATTTTCTATGTATCTGTTGTGTAACTTCGCCATAATTAGACACTGTTTATTCACCATTTTCATAGAGCGATTTTACTTGTATGAGATATGATTTGTTCCCAATTTTCGATATTTCTGGAGAGTAATGCTACCTGTATGAGATATGGTTTATTTCCCATCTTCCTTATCTCTGTCATATTGCGGAGCTGCTGTTGGACCAGGGTTGCCTCAAATGCAATGAGCATGAAGAGCGTGAAGATGCTGTAGTACCAGTATTCGTCCAAACACCACAGTCCAACACAGAACACCTGGAACACGAAGAATGGAGCCGTTGCCCGCTCCTTGAACAGGTCCCTAAACGTGGGTATGTCCATCTCCATACTGTTAACACAAAATACATACAGGTAAATAGCTCTCCTCAACCCTTTCACCACTGTAGACCATAATGGACTCATCCAGATCAAAGCATGGTAACGCTTACTTAAGTTACATATATAGGGTTGAAAGAGTTAAGAATAAGACAAATTTCTCACAAGTTATAAGAATCCTAACTTACTCATAACGTCAGAGTGGTGATAAAATAATAATTTACCACTGTGCAATAAAATGTTCGGACTTTTCAAAAGAGGTAGACTGAGAGGCCATCATTATCATCTTTAATGTCCAAGATTTCTTTTTCTTAATTTATCACCAAACTGTTTCATACAACATCTATTTAGCTACTATCAGACATATATTTTCTAAGAAATATAAACTGTAGTCAAACTTCAGGTCTTCAACAGATGCTTAAGAGTATGCTTATGTCAACTCCGGAAAATGAGCTCTGACTCTTGGTTTGAAAAGACATGTCTTTTTGACATGTGTTTTGACTCGCCAAATTTTAGGAAAAATGTTGTTTAGCTTCTGAAATTGCTAAAAGTCACAAGGTTCATCTGCGAGCTCTGGTACGTTTATCAAATGGGCTCATCGTTTGTGTTTGCAGAATGCTTGCCTTTCAGAACTATTCTCTGTAACCTCTGACCTTGTGGGTTCTATATGCCTTACATGTTTCGTCCGTAACTTTTCTCCACATCCTTGACGTCTGAATCTTCCTGGTAGCCGCGCCATTCAGAGAAATACCCTACGCTTCTGTCAGTAGGAAACTTGACTTCGACAAACTGCTTCTTCTCCTCACGATCATACACATAATGCATTTTTTGGAAGTAGAAAGACAAGACATTTGGGGTTGAACTCTGAAAAAAAGGAAACAAACCAATCCAGTACATGTCCACATACCTGTTTTTAATATTTGTTTGTTTGTTTGGGTTTTACGCCCTATTAACAGCTATGGTCATTTAAGGACATGCCAGGTTTCGGTAGTGAAGGAAAGTCGGAGTTACCGGAGAAAAACCACAGACCTATGGTCAGTACCTGGCGACTGCCTCACGTAGGTCTTGAACACGCGACTCAGTGGTAGCAGAATGCCAGACGCCTTAACCACTTGGCCACCGCGGCCCCTGATTTGTAATAACTAGTTCTTTTTTTAAATGATTTATTCTCCCTTCTCGTTCATAAATGACGTCCTTTAAAGAAATTCATGGTTTGATTTGAAAAGTCTTATCTAGCAGCTTCTTTATCTGATGCCATTTCGTTCAAGACGTTCGTGATAGATGAAACAGGACGCTTTTAGAGGACAATGGCATTGTTTTATCTAATGAAGCAACATTGCATTAAAAGTTCAAATTAATGCAATACCTGGTAAGAGGATTTAAGTTTCCCTATCAATGTGAAAGACAAAAAATTTGGAAAGCAGCTTGTTATGTTATTCGGGCCCATTCCCGATGAAAAATTCTGCTTTTATTTCCCGAAACCTCTTTAACATTTTCTAACAGCCCCCCTCCTCTCCAAAAACTTGCAAAAAGGTTAGTATTTTTCTGTAATTTTCAGCTTGAATTCAGATGACAACACAATAGGCATATCTAAAATGAAATATTTTTTTTATAAATCAGGATGTTTAATTCTTTTAAATGATACTTGGCAAAAAAATCAGTATTTGGAATACTTTCAAAAATTCCTACCGGTAATTAGATAAACTTTAATACATTATTTTCCAATTCTAAAGCTAAAATAGTGAGAAAAAGTTCAAAAAGCAGAGAGTATTGACACCATACTGAAAATAAAGCAGCTGAGGGCAACATGTCTTGTCAACTGTAGTTTCCTTTTTGACAAATTAAACATTCCCCTTTAGATATTAATACAATACCCGCTCATGATGGAGTTTGACCAGCTCAGTGGATCCATTATTGGGGGTAGGGACAACTTTCAACCAGCTAGCACTGTCAGCATCCTTTGCCTGTTATAAAAAAAAATGAACACATTTTGTTAGCAATTTTTAAGCAGATTAAATGAAAATTACTGCATGCACTGACAAGTATGTGTACAGATACATGGTGTATTTATTATTAAACCAGAACATGTAGATATTTTTATTGTTATGATATATATTTATGTTGAAAATTGGAAGAGAAATCATAATCAATTATCTGAAGTCCATTCATGAATGATTTCCAATTATAACTGGAATAACTGAAATAATGCACTTTAACAAGTAATTCAGATCATGGACCAAGTGTAAAGTGTTATAAATCAACTCAAGTATATATACATGTATATACAACCAGTATCAACAGACAAATTTACTAACTAGTATCAACAGACAAATTTACTACAAAGAGTTAATAAGATTCTAGACTTCCATAAGGTATATGCATCACAATCAATCATTACTCATTAATCTGTTATTACTGTATGCTAATTTTAAACTCTGTATATTTCACTTCAGTACTACTATGGGCATTTAGTCTAATGTTTTGATTGTAAAGCACATATCTCAATATTAACTTACAAATCTGATGTAAATGTCAGACTATATCAATTTGAGGTATTGAAATGAAATATAATACTGCAAATATTTCCTTAAAGGAAATGGATAGCAAGCCAATGAGTTTATCACAAAACTTCCATCAAATGAAAACAAATGAATAATGAAAAGAAGTAAAACTTATATTGTTACCCAGGTTAGAAAAAAATATATCTCAAAACATCCGGAATATTTAATATTCCTTTGTTGAAAAAAAGTACACCAATAAATACTACTTCCACTATTTGTATATATCCAATTGTGAAGAAACCTGTTTTCTTGTGTTTATGTTATTTTCATTAACAGTCAGTCCCATTCTGGCAGCAAGAGAATAAATTCCAGATTCAATGTCAGTGTCCGGTTTCGATTTTATAGTCACGACTTACACGTCCAGTCACTCCATTAAATGACAGGCTGTGCAATTTCTGCGATAATAAAATTGAGAATGAAATCCACTTTTTTATGTGAATGTAACCTTTATTATGACCTTAGAGTCCCTCTGTTTGAAAGAGCAAGTAATTTAGTTTGATCATTTATTTCTATGGACCATAACGGACAATTTATTTTTCTTATGAATGAAGAATCGCTTCAACCTGTCTTAGCTAAGTCAGTTTTCCTTTTTATGAAAAGGAGACGTGGTAGTATTTAAAACTTGATATGCATTTTAGATTTTTTATGACTATATACCTCGTAATATATGGTTCATATTATTGCTTCTAGTAGGCATCATTACGATACTTTCACCATTTACTATAATTCAGTTTTAATGATTTTAGTAAGTCTAATTTATGGATTTTATATGTATTTGATGTGCTAGTATTTGCCAATCATCGAGGTCTTGATGGTGGGGGAGGGGCGACTTGTCGGTAGGGATTGGCCCAACCACTCTTGCTCTTCTCCCACCATCGGATCGGGAGCATACATTCAATTTTTATGTTATGTACAGTATAATATATGGTTCTTTTTATTGAGAATCACTAATGGATTCTATGTTTTAATATATATAAATTTTAAGTAGTGTCTTGTAGGTCAGTATGGCTGGGCATATTTTGCATATGTGTATTTTTATTATGTAAGTGATGTGTTATGTAAAATATGTGCGACACTTAAATAAAATATTTTATTATTATTATTATTATTATATTACTTACATTTCTGTTTCGATAAACTATGTTTTTGATGGTAATTATGTGGCTGTTTAATGTTATAATACCCACTGGCATCACATCTTAATTAGCAACTAGCCCCCCACTGGATGTGGGATCACTGATTTAATTGCTTAACAGCTCACACATAGGTGAGCAAGTCACCAAGCCATGTGCTGATAAATCAGCCAGCCGGGCCATTCACAACTTTGCTGCAAATTGGCCTGGCCTGTACTTTTAAGTGGCTGGTGTGTGACTTAAGACCTCTATGTGACCAAGGTCAGTGTGAATTCATGTAGCTATTGTTTATTCACCAAGATTGACAAAATGTTCTTTCTTTTCGCGAGACCGATTGAAATTCATGATAAATGTGTCTCACGCCACGGAATTAGATTTGTTATCTTAGTCCGTGCTCACAGTGTGAGCACGGACTTAGCAATTTGATGCAATTTTCGTGAGTTTCATGCCCAAATTGTTAGATATGGCAGGTATGACATTAGTTCTAGTAACCTTTTGCATCATATCTGAACATATTTTAAGTAGTGGTCTTGTTCAAGGGAGTTTTAGCCAATGAATTCAATCACCTGTATATTAGGCCAGAGGTTCTATAAGCCATACAACTAAATTGCAGGAAGCTAAAATCAAGTGCTTGAACTGACAAACCCTGCTCAAGATTAAAGGAAAATACAATGTTACATGAAACATGGGGTAGGTACATTTTTATGTGATATTAGAACATTTTTAAAATCTGAATATTTTTTTTCAGGCGAATACTGAGCATCTTATTTTTTTATTAGTCCCATTACTTAGATAAATAGTGGGATATGAAAAGGTTGGCGAGTTCCACAAAAAAAAACCCACAGGAATAAAATATATGAATTCCAAAAGTCGCTGCAGCAGTGTACAGAATATCATAATACGCATATAACTTGTTACAGTATCAACGATGGCGATGCCAACATATGGTTTACAACCGGATGTACTGATCGTCATGTTTTTACCATTTATACCAAAGAAAGCGACTAAAAATGGGTTGCGTTATCGAGTCTGGCTGTATTTCCGCAATATTGTATACCTTTGAGCATGTTAATATGCACCGCACGTCCTCCGACCATAGACAAAACAGAGAAGTCAAAATCTGCAAAAATCCGATAAACGCTAGTGCTATCAACCCGGCTTCGTAGTAGTCTTCAAGTCCATATATACATGTCCAGCAGTAAAACCATATGCCATATATGAGAACAAATGGTCCTATGTACCCGTGAAATATTAACGGTCGTATATTATAGCAAGTAACAGACTGGACTTCGTCATTCAGTGGTGCCGACGAGGCCATGTTGCCTCTATGCCGGAACAAAGTCTGCGTCAATGTTACGCTTCCCAAATGGTGATACGTATAGAAACACTGACCTGACGACGATTCGATTACAAGAATTAAGGATAACTGTACAGCAATTCTCCATCGACAATGCAAGCTACCCAATACGACATAATTCTACCCAAACAGGGTTTTCACACTTGTCAATCAACCTTATTTCATGCCAATTTACACAAGCAAAGTGTCCATAAGTCTTCGTCAGAAGGAATTACAGACGTTTCGCCCCAAAACCGGGTCGCCCCAGACCATTTCGCCCCAACTTTATTTCAACTCGCTCATTTCGCCCCAAGTAGGATATAACAACCATATCATCCCAAAATTCTTTATCGCCCAACCGCTACCAAAGACGTATATTACAAACGCCTCTGCCGCTACGAACCTATATTGAACGATATCTGATCTTGTGAAAGTGGTGGTAATTATTGCCAGTTCACTTAAATATTAATGATTAGGAACGCGTAATCTCGAGACTCAATTAACATTTTTTCTTATATTAATATTTATTTTAATGTTCATGTTACATATTTGACCCCTGTGACCTTGAGTCAAAGTCATTCATTTGAACATACTTGGTAGGTGTCTTTATCCCAGCAGGTACTGGCACGGAATTACATTTGTAGATCTAAGTCCGTGGTACTGGTCAAAACATCATCACCCTAGACCGGTTGGTTATTGAAAAGAAGCTGTTAGATCACTTCGCCCTTCGGGCCTGGTGAGCTAAAAGCGATATTACGATTAATATTTACCATCGAATTGCATTGCCACTACATAACCCTACCAAATTCAGTTGGCATTCATATAGGCTATGAATGTCATGGACCGATTGTTGACGTCATCATTATTATGACGTCATAATTGTTTCGTTGGATACTACTGACCATCCCCGGTGATGGCTGTTCTATTCAATGAACAAGCATACACGATACATAAATTATTTAAACTAAATGCTAAATAACAATGAGTGTAATTGAATTCTTTATGCGGTGAACAGATTCCAAAAATGATAAATATACGTATTGAACTGCTTTCAATTGTCATTCATAGGCAATATGAATTTGCCTTTGTCCAGTTGGCATTCATATTGCCTATGAATGCCAACTGAAAGCAGTGCAATGCTTAAATGTACTGTAAAATTAGCGCGAAAATGACAACAGAGCGAATATGTGTAGAAAGTGTATATCATGTCAGGTATGTCTTGGAATTCACTTGTACTATACATATTTCAGCAAATGTGACGCATATGTGGAGTTAGAAACAAAATATGAAGGTGACAATCTATAATTTATATAACAGTCCCTTGTGGAACTCCCGATGTTATACGTTTTCCATTCGCAGAAAAAATACTATCCGGATCAGCTCACAAAGACTCTAGCTCAGATAGATTTGACACAGAAAGTTTTGTTATGATTGTGAAAAAGAAATCGAAGAAGTGACTCCAGAAGTGACTTCGTTGTGAAATACAATGAGTTTGGTCAGGTGTGGTACAAGACATTCTCAAGTGCTGAAAAACAGATCTTTCTTGACAAAAAGCCACATGGTCATGTTATAGTATATTTAAAAAAAAAACATTAGATGATTGTAAATCTATGTTTAAGATTCACTTGAATAGGTTTATTTATGATAACTCTTCTGTTCTGAAATACATGTTATTGTTACGCATGATATGGATCTTGTTGTTTTTTCATTCGATATACGGCACGCGTGTATATAATCTAATTATCTTATACAGTGTATATATCATCTAAAATATACAAATACGTCTGCAAAAATAACATTAATAATACGTTGTCTTGTTTTTAATGATGTGCCTGATTTTTCTAAATATATATTTACAAGTGTTTCGTGCAGAGCAAAAAAAAAAGTCGCATTTTGAAAACAGGTCTGTACAGACTTTGTAATGGCACGTTCCTCGTCTGTTCCTATCACCAAATCACCAGTCCCTAACCTAGCCCTAACATGTGAAGACATGAATGATACATTGTCATCTCCCAGTGTAGGTTCCCTCGTCTCCCCATGTACGACCCCCTGATTTTTTATAGCTTACTGGCGTCACGAAACATTTCCCTAAATTGAACGTTCTGTCTATCCCTATAACGCTCCCGCCTTGGTTTAAACAATGTTTAATTTCATTTGTCATATATAACAAGTACACAGGTAGATAGGAAGAGTATCTGACAACAAGATGTTAAATCGTATATAAAGCCATCTCCATTGAAATGTAATTACAAGAGAGAAAACACATACATTGTTTAAATAAGCAGTTAGTGATAACACTGACCATTTTATGTGATGAACCAAAGATCATAGGTAGGTATGATAAAAGAAAGAAAACAGTAATGAAGATAGCATGAACAGATCCTACACTGGCACCTAGAATCTACCGACTCTAAAATGTACCTTTGTACCTTATCAAATTATATAAGTATGCTATCATCTTTTAAGACAGATTTAGGTCACCATAAATTAACCGTTCAGGGTTCAAATTCATATTTAAAGTATCTATGGTGTTCATTCTAGCTTGGTTAAAGAGCCTGCACTGCATCAAATAATGGGAAGGAGTTTCCACCTGCCCACATCTACATAGATCTTTGTCAGAAACATTATTATAGAGATGATAATTTAGGGAGCTACATCCAAGACGAAGTCGTGTATGTACCTGGGCCCAGCGATGGCCAGCATACTAATATGGTGGTTTACTAATACGCTGTCTGTTGAGGTGATTTATGCAAGACTATAAGATAGCTCAGTGACATATCGAAAGGGAAAATGTCGACAGATGAGAAACTGGACAATATATTCACTATACTGTCAACGATGAAGGAGGACATGTGTCAACAGATGAAAAACCTAAGAGAAGAAATCAGAAGAGAAAATAGGGAACTGATAGAGCGAATGGAGGGTCGGATTTACGACTTAGAGGAGCAGAATGAGGATTTAAAACAATCAGTAACCAGATTTGAACAGCAATTAACAGATTCAGAAGACAAATGGCTGGAACTTGAAAACAAACAAAATGATCTGGAACAACATGGGAGGAAAAATTCTATTAGGATAGTGGGATTTGAAGACGCAGATAGAAATGAGACTGTGGAAGACTGTGTTGGAAAGATTGTGAGTTTCGTGAAGGACAAACTGAAAGTTGGGATTTGCAAATCTGATATTGACATTGCACACAGACTAGGGCGTTTCCAGCAAGGTAAATCTCGTAACATTATCTGTAAGTTCATCCACCGAAGGAAGAAGATGGAAATCATCCAGACAAGGAAAGTGTTAAAGGGATCGGGGACATTTATCACAGAGGACTTGACCCGTATCAATCAACAGAGGTTGAAGGCTGCTTTTGAACTTCAGTGTGTTGCGCGTTCATGGAGTACTGATGGAAAACTTTTTGCATTATTGAAAAATGGAAAAAAACGGAGAATTTTTTCTAATACAATACTGTCGGAGACATTCCTGGTGAACGATGACAATTTTCGTAAGTAATCATACCTGAAAATCAGTGACTTTACATATGTGCAAAATATATTGATTTGGCATTCAGTGAAATTGTCGATACTTATGTACATATTGATTAATCAGGTAGTGATTGACATTCTTTCCCTCTGACAATGAAATATTACGTGCTATTATATGTCTATATTGATAATACTGTATTTGTTTATAGTTATAGTCTCTTTGATTTATTATGTAATTTTGACTGATGCTGCGCAACTATGAAAGTATGAAAGGGCTGAAAGTGAATTGTATATGAAACTGAATCTTATGATATTATGTGTTTCCTGGTATAAGTATTAGTAAATAGAATGTAATATCAGAATAACAGTTTACATTATTTTTTTCCCCTCCATTTTTAATATAAATATATATTATGATGACATATTGAAAACAGTTGAATAATATATTACCTACATAAATGGTGATAGATATTGGATAATCATTCTAGACATGCAAAAACTGTATATTGATATCATATAGTATATGACGGATAATATAGTCCAATGTCGGTTCCAGTCTATGTAATTAGTTATGTTTTCTGGGTCAGTCAGATGCTTAGCCCGTAAGATCTATGCCATTAAACATCTAACTGATTGAGACTAGATTAGCCTATATGTACTTCCGGTTAAGTTCAGCGTCGTTTGATGACGAGTGAGGATCGAAAGACTGGATAAATTGGGTCGAATGGATGAGGTGTGGCATGCAGGTGAATGAATATTAGATGAAGGTGTATAGGTGATAGTGAGTCAGTCTTTCTTGACCACTTTTGATATTTTAAATGTTTATTTGTGTCCGTTATGTGTTTCTTTTGTGTGTCTTTTCTCTGTGTTCAGTTCTTTATTTCATCTCTTGTGTCAGACATCACGCCGGGCAAATACTGTTACTGCTGTGTAGTTTCCGTCAGTCAATTTTTACTGCCTGCTGTAACTCCATACATTGTTGTATGCATTGTAATTTCTTAAACAGTTGTGGAGGGAATTAAGATATTATCTGCCAATTGCCAGGGCCTTGGTGACAAGGTTAAGCGCAAGGATGTTTTTACTTATTTAAGAGATAGGCAATACAATATCTACTGTCTGCAAGATACTCACTTTACCGATGAACAGGAAGAAATATTACTGAGTGAATGGGGCTATAACTGCTATTTTAATTCTTTTAAATCTAATGCAAGGGGGGTAGCAATACTTATCAATAACAATTTTGAAGTCAAGGTGATAAAGGAAAAAAAAGACTTGACAGGGAATTTTTTGGCATTGGATCTAGAAATTGAAGGTAAGAAAATAACTTTAATTACATTGTATGGTCCAAACTCTGACAACCCAACTTTTTATGATAAAATAGAAGAAACTCTCTATGAGTTTAAAAATGATAGCTGTGTTATTTGTGGGGATTTTAATTTAGTTCTTAATCCTGATTTAGATTGTGATAAAAGCTACAAAAATGTTAATAATCCAAAGGCTCGTGAAAGGATATTAGAAATAATAAATAAC